AGCCTGGGCCACGCTCGCCATCATCTCTCCCAGGTGCTGTTTTCCCAGTTTTCTTACCCCAGCTGGGAACCCCAGCATTCCACTGGGCCAGATGGGATTTCAGGTGACACGCTGGTGGAGATGCCACCCAGGCTGGCTGTGCTTTTCTCCTCATTCCCAAAGGAGGCCAGAAGGGTTTGTCACCCGCCCAGGACCGGCTGTGCCACCGGGGACGTGAAGCAGCCTGTTTGCTCCTGTCACACCTTCACGGTTTCGGGTGTCACCGGCAGTGCTGAGTCAAACCTGGGGCACAGCAGAAACCACCTGCCCCGGGAGCCACGAGGCAGCAGAGATGTCACCACATGGCTGTCACACTGTGGGGCAATTACCAGTTCAGTGCAAAGCTGTCCTTCCACGCCCCGGCGCTGCCCACACAGAATTCCAGCTGCTCACGCAGAATTCCAGCTGCTCGTGGCCAGCCATGCACGGACACACCCTGTGGAAGGAAGGGCTAAGGCTGCTCACACCCAACCTCTGCAGAGAGAGAAGCCCGAGGATCCAGCCTTAAAGGTTGTTATTGCTGCTGATCCACGCCCCAGTGGGCCTTGATAAGATCCAATAAATCAAATTCCACGTGCGGAAAAGCGCTGGAGTACCAGTGTCTAAATGTGCTGGAAAATAGGTTTGAACTTCAGTGACTTCAAGCCTGATGTTCAGTTTGCAAATGCATCAAACTGCTATATTTGTATATTTGTTTCTATTAATACTACTGTTGCAGATAGGTGAGCTGGTGAACATTAGGAGAAACTAATTTTAATACATGGTGAGTATTCCTTACTTGTTTTCCCAATACCTTTGGTGGAAGTTGAAGCAATTTGTGTGTGTCGTGATGGGAAACCTGAAGCCTCGAGTCCATAAACTCATGAACTGAGAGAAACAGGCTTCATTTAGGTCCTAAATCTTCTGAAAAATCTGTATAACGCTCACAAAAATGCAGATTTACTGGGAAATCAAAAGGCAACAAATGTCGTGCCTTGAGTATGAGGTTTTTAGAGCAGAAATTTTCCAGTTCTACAGTGAATTTTACATTCTAGATGACAGAATAATTGAAACAAACCTGCTTTCATACGTGAGCAATGTTTAAATCGTTTCTCGATACTTTAAGCCAGTCGCCAGCTGTGCCTCCACTGCAGTAAATGAGAAATGAGCGAGAGGAATTCCACTGAAACCAAGGCAGGGAGGGACTGGGGGAGTGGAAGGTGAAGGCTCAGTTAAGCTGAAAGAGAGAAACATTTACAGCCAAGTGTATCCCGAGTGCCCTGGTTTCACACCCGGTTATTCACGGGGCAAACTGCAGGGTGTGACTCCACTGCTCAGTTCCTCTTTTCTCTTTCAAAACCAGTGAGTAAGAGCTTAAAGAACTCACCCTCTGGGAACGATTTCAAATAATCCTCCTTGTTCCTCTGAGCTGTTAATTCAGAGCCCAAAATTGGAATCTCTGTAAACCTTTCATAAAGGTATCTAACGAATTTCTCTTCAAGTTATAATTTGGCAGAGCAAAACACTGTTTATCCAGCTGGAATAACTCCCATTGCCAAGTTTTTTTTGGCACCAAACTTTTCTATCAATGCAAACCCAGTACTTGACACATGCGGGGGCTGTGCTTGCCATCAGAAGTCCTGTTCCAGCTGATAAGGCAGATTTTTATGACTGAGGTGGAAGGGAATTCCAGATTCTCAGTTAGTTTATCACATTCAGCATGAAGAATTAAAGTCAATCTCCTAAATGCTTGATAGAAAAAAAAAAAATAAACTAACACCTTTCAACTGATGCTTTACTTTGGAGATTTTAGAATTTAAAGAATAAATTGATCAATAATTTGATCTAACTTGTATTATCTTAGTCTCATCTATTTGATATGACAGCAGAAACTTTTAGATATCAGCTCATGTCAAAATATTTTGCTGCCTATACTCCTGTGATGTTGTTTTCTTACAGCCATCATTCTTCAAGGAAATCAGATTTTTCTGTCACCGCAGATTCTTATTTTCCCAAAATAATCCTTTCTTCTCTGTTAAGGTAATTGCACACTGTAATTTGCAGTAATTTTCTAAGAAACGTTTTGTATTTTGTTCTGGGAAACATTTGCTGCCAAGTGTGTAAATCCTGAGGGGATTTAGGCACTGCCCACCAGAGGAGAGAGTTTGGGATATCCAAAACTCGCTTTTCATGAGGTCTTTCCTTTTTTTCCCGGTTTTTATCGCTCAGCTTTGGTATCTCTCACTGCAATCAGACACCTGGAAGGACAAAATCAGTTTACATTTGTGCACAACTGATTGGAAGAGGAGCTTCCATGGCCAAAGGGCTCCAGGAGAAGCAGGCTCGTTAATGTCTCATCATGACTCAAGCAGCAATTATTGATTGATGCTGTTTTCCAGCAGTGTCCTGGCAACAGAGCACTGCTCCTGCTGCCGAGGGGACAAGGCACTGCTCGTCCTTATCGAGTTCAAAAACACTCACGTAAAAACATCAAGGACGGGTTGAGCTGCAAGGAGAGCAAGTACAAATCTCTCCGGCTTTTTGAAATATCAAAGGGCAACCTGGAAAACTGGAGTGCGTTGAAAGCAATAAATGATGGGTGTGTGCATGGAAAAAAAAAATTCAAAAAGGGCAAATTCCACTGCGCTGACACCTGCTGCTTCCATGACTCGTTTTTGCTCCTTTCCAGCCCCTCTGGCACACGGCGGTACCTGGCAGGGAAATGGAAAGTGCTGTTTGCCTCCTGCAAACACCACATAACCCAGGATTTCACTTCAGGGTAGGCCGAGGGTCACAGTCAACTTCCCCCAGCTCTCCTTTTATTACTATTCCTTTAACCTCCAGTGCATTCCGTGGGCTGTAAATTGCTTTTGCCATTGCAGAGGTGTTTAGCACCAGCATTCGGGTTCATAGGACTTTTTTTGGCTCTGCTATCACAGCTCCAAAGTCTGTTCCAGGTGGGTGGTGAGATTTTTTTTTATTCCGTGTAAAATTGTTTTTAAAATCTCAGGAATTGTACAGCACAGGGTTATAGGAGGGGAGGTTGTCAAAGGGCCAGGAAAATAGGGTGAACTATTCCAAATAAGTGAATAATAAATAATGTTCTTTCCAAATAGCCAGGATCCCTGCTGAGTCATGAACCTGCACATAAAACAGCGCACAATTAAATGCTTTATTTCCATTAAAAACCCACTGTTTTGGTGATAGTTACAGACCCTGAAGCCTCAAAATATAACAGGAAAAGAAGGGTGAAAACCAAACGTACTGCAGACACCTTTCTAAAAGACGTGTTTGCAAAAGTGGGGAGGTTTATTAATGACTGCAACCGTGACGCAAAACAAGGAGCTGCTCCACACCCTGTGAGGAGGATGAGCAGACCACGAGCACCTCGGCCTCCTCCTCATGGCTGATCCTGTGGATCCTGGGGGAGCTGGGAAGGGAATGGAGCCCCAGGAGGGGCTGGGGGAGCTGGGAAGGGAATGGAGAACCAGGAGAGGCTGAGGGAGCTGGGAAGGGAATGGAGCCCCAGGAGGGGCTGAGGGAGCTGGGAAGGGAATGGAGCCCCAGGAGAGGCTGAGGGAGCTGGGAAGGGAATGGAGAACCAGGAGGGGCTGAGGGAGCTGGGAAGGGAATGGAGCCCCAGGAGAGGCTGAGGGAGCTGGGAAGGGAATGGAGAACCGGGAGAGGCTGAGGGAGCTGGGAAGGGGCTCAGCCTGGAGCAAAAGGGGATCAGGGGGAACCTTGTGGCTCTGCACAGCTCCTGACAGGAAGGGGGAGCCGGGCTGTGCTCCCAGGGATGAGGGAACAGCCGCAGGCTGGGCTAGGGCAGGCTCAGGGTGTGCTTCACGAAGAATTTCTCCATGGGCTGCCCAGGGAGGTTTAGAGTGCCCATCCCTGGAGGTGTCCCAGGAAGGGCTGGACGTGGCACTCAGTGCTCTGGGCTGATGACAAGGTGGGCATCGGGCACAGCTTGGACTCGACGCTGGACAATTTTTCTGACTTCTGGGATTCTGTAACTATTCCCGAGGGACCCCGGGGAACAGGGGCAAGGCGGGGCCGCCGCCTGACCCCCACACAACATGGCGGGCACGGCCCCTCAGGCGCCGCTGCCACTCAAACCCAGCGAGCCAATCAGGGACCGCGGGGGGGGCGGGCTTTCCCGGTTGGCGCGCGCGTGCGGTTACGGCCGCGGAGGGATCTGGGGCGCGCGGCGGTGGTGCGGCTGTTCCCAGAAGTGACGCATCCGCCGGGGCTGGCCCGGTGGCCGCGTGGTCGCGACAGCGGGGGGGAATGTCGCGACATGCGGGCCCTGCCGGGAGCGCTGAGACACTGCTGGCGCCGCCAGGGCGGCCTCCGGGAGCGCGGTGTGAGCGGCCGCCGTGCTCTTCCGCGCGTCTCGCCATGTGGGACGTTTCCTCGTTCATTGTGAATTTATTACCTGCAACGGCTAAAACTGCTGGAGCTGGTTAATTTTTATTTTGTTTTTCCTTAATAAATTAAACCGGAGGTAACTTACTGCTGGACGCTTCCAGTCTGGAAAGGCGCAGCCCACCTTTTGCCAACACTAACCCACAATCCTTATTTTCATTCAAATTGACGGTCTTGTTTGCACTACGGGACGCATTCCGAGCACCAAAACCTTCAAGACAGGGCTTGGACGCAGGTCCTGAGCCCTGGTTAACAACCTATGTGCTATTTTATACTTTTGTATCTATTCTGCACCACGTTTCCGCCCGTGGCAGGGGTTGGACTGGATTGACCCTGGAAGATCCTTTCCAACCGCAACTCCTGCGGTGATTCTGTGGTTATCCAGCACCATTCCCACTCTCTCCGTTATTCTGCAGTGGTTTACACCCGCTCCCGTTCCTGTCCCGGTCCCCTGTTCTTGTTCCCGTTCCCATTCCCGGTCCCGGGGCGTGTCCCGCGGACTCTTTTTTCCCGCCGCCCCCCGCGCGCGCGCGGCGCTGTCGCGTGCGTCACGCGCGGGGCCGCGCAGTCGGCGCGCGGCCGCTGCCGGGAGCGGACCCGGACCCATCGCCCGCGCTCCGCCGCCATGGCCGCCGCGCACCCGGGCCCCGCCGCGCCCGTCGCCCCCGCCCCGCCGCCTCCTCCCGCCGCTCCGGGCATCCTCATCGGCGACCGGCTCTACTCCGAGGTGTCTCTGACCATCGACCACTCGCTGATCCCCGAGGAGCGGCTCTCTCCCACCCCCTCCATGCAGGACGGGCTGGACCTGCAGTGCGAGACCGACCTGCGCATCCTGGGCTGCGAGCTCATCCAGGCGGCCGGCATCCTGCTGCGGCTGCCGCAGGTGAGCCCTTGCCGGGGCTTCCAGGGGGGCAGGGAGGGAAGGGAAGGGCGGGTGCCGCCATTGTGGCGGCGGGAAGGGCGTGAGGCGGCGCGGGGGGGCGGCGGTGCCTCACACAAAATGGCGGCGGCTGGGCCAGGGCACTGACTCGGCTCCTTCTCCCTCCTCCTGCTCTGCCCTCACAGGTGGCCATGGCGACGGGGCAGGTGCTGTTCCATCGGTTCTTCTACTCCAAGTCCTTCGTCAAGCACAGCTTCGAGGTGAGCGCGGCCCGGGGGCACCGGGAGAGGGCGGCTGGGGCGGCCGCGCGCCACGCTGGCCGCTCGCTTCGAGCCTGGCGTATTCGCTTCTTAGTTACGTAATTCTCACTTTATCTGGGTTGAAAATTGTTTGCTTAACGGAAACGGGGCTTCTTTTCAGATTGTTGCTATGGCCTGCATCAATCTCGCGTCCAAAATCGAAGAGGCGCCTCGTCGGATAAGGGACGTGATCAACGTGTTCCATCACTTGCGGCAGTTAAGAGCAAAAAGGTAAGATCAGCTTCGTTATGAGCATAAGCACCTGTTACCACTAATGTACACTGCAGTTCTCAATTCACAGTATTTTTCCAGGCTAAGTTCAACGACCTAAAATTGAGAAGGGAGTGCCCGTTGGCTGCTGTGTAGGCAGTACAGTGCAATCTCGGCTGCTTCTGCTTTTGTTCACTTGGTAGACCCGTTTGTCGTTGTTGATTTAGCTACGAGTTACGATTGGCAAGTATTGGTTCTAGTTTTAGGACCATGGTTGTGGTTTCAGATCTGTTTGTTGATTTTTTGGCGTCTCGTAGTTGCTGTAAGATAGTCTTACGTGTGTGTAGCCAGTTAGTGAGTTGCTGTATATTCTGCAGTTTTTAAACCATACTTAGCAGTCCTGATGGTTTTTTTCCTCGTTAATCTGTGGCTGTCCAAGTGTGGTTATGGCGTTAAGGAGAAGCTGAACTTCTAGAGGTGACAGTGTTACCTTCTAGAAAAAGCCATTTTAGAAAGTTCCTGATAAAGGTCCTGGTTTGGCCTGCAGTGTTTGCAGTCTATTGAGTCTGGGAGGCTGAAGGCATTTTTAGGCTCAGAAAGTGAGAGCAGTGTTGTGCTGGTGTGCTTGTGCAGGTGGAGTGGGCGCTCACCTGGCCGTGTGCAGGTGGGGTAGAGCTGTCCCAGTTCTGAGTTCTAGTGCTGCTCTTTGTGTGTAAAGCAGCGTTTTTTGTGTGTAAAGCAAATAACCGGTGCATTGAAAGGAGGAAGGCGTGGTTGAAGGGAAAGAGTTCTCTAGGTTGCCGTTAAACACAAAATCTCCTTAATTCTGTCGGGCAGCAGTGTCACAGTCTGGAATTGGAGGCTTCAGCTTTGCTTCTGGTGCCTGATTGCTTAAAGCTTCAGGTTCTCTGTAGTTACAAAAGGATTTTGCTTTCAGCTACAGTGTTAAATTCACCTTTCATTTCCCTGCCCTGTATCACCAGGTGACGGCAGGAATTTAAACTCGTGTTATGCAAGCTTTTCTGAGAAACAGAGTAGAAATCCCTTAGGGAAGCCAGCTGTTTGTTGGTGTCTTTATCCTGGTTATGCTTCTGCTGAAGCAGAGCTTTGGCTTTTACTGCCTCCTGATGGTGTTGTCCCAGTTAGCTCTAGATCCAAGAAGGAAGAGTTGGTGTTACGCTTTGGAGTTTAGCTTTGTTCTGTCTGGCCTTTAAAGCTGTTCTCCCCGATGGCCCTGAGAGAGCTGTGTGAAGTTTTGCCAGGTGTGAATTCAGTGGGATTGTCTTCCACAGTTATTAAGGGAGTCTGGTTATTGGAATTACTGGAGCAGGCTCAGCGATTAGTAAAGTTCTGGCCTCTGTCCAGGCAGTGAAGGCTAATTAATCATATGCCTTGCTTTTCTTTGCAACGAGAATATAAATTAGTTGTCTCTTTGTGCTGTGTGAAGGATCAGAGAAACTGAACTTAACCTGTGAATTTAAATCTTTCCAGCTAGCCTGTTCCAAATCCCAACTTGTGCATGTTACGTGGTGCCTAAAGTGCATCATGTCCAGAGAAATCGTGCACTGCTACCCATTATTTTCGGGAGAAATGGGTATTGTTGCTCTGCGATTCTGAGTGAATCTGCATGAAATTAACCTTAAAAATGCTGCAGTCTGACATTCAGACTCGCACACCCCCCTCCCCTTTTTTTTTTTTTAGCAAGCAGGATGTAAACGTTTTTCTGTACTTTTTACAAGCTGACAGTTCCATCACCTGTACACGTTATTAACTTCAACTCTTTTTTCCCTTGCAACCGACTATACAGCGACCAGCTACATTTACCAAAGCCTGGGTGATGTGGAGTGGTACATAAAGATGAAGCTGTCGTCATGGCAACAGTGAGTGAAGTATCGAAAATCCCCAAGGAGAAGCCAGTGCTCTGAGCATAGGTCACTGGAATCGGGGGACTAACAGGTTGGCCGCTGGTGAACCATTTGGAAGAACTCCTGTATCTTGTTATAAGCTTTTTTCTTTGCTGTCCAGGTTTTTAGAATACTAGCTTGACCTTTTTTTTTTTTGTTTTTTTACTGAAGCTAACACTTAGGCTGTAGTTAGTCTCTCACACACAACCCAGAACTGAAACAGGCTGCTGTACTTTCTTTTTTAGTCTAGCATTTCTGTTAACTGAAGCTCTTAACCTGCACACGAATTTGGGGTAGTTTGGGTAGGCTTTGCTTTCTTTCTTAACCAGTTTTGGGTTCTTAGTTCCACTTTCTGGCTCTGTATAATTGCAGCTTGAATTCACAGTAAAACAAGGGTACGGAAGTCTTGAATTTGTACATTTTAATCAATTATGATGTAAGCAGTCCCTTTTATGTACCTGTTTGCAGAACTGGGAATTGCATTGGAATTTTCTTTTATGAGACATGTAGTCAACCGAGGTGGTATTTCTAATGCTGAGAAGTAAGAAAAAGCTAAATAAGTGTTTTGGACTAGCATATTTTCTTTGGGATCTTTGACGAGCATATGTGATGTAGAACTGCATGTAAAAATGTTTGTGTGCATGGAGAAAAGCTCGTACTATGGAAAAACTGCTTTTTAAATAACTGTGTGCCAAAACCTCTGTTCTGAGCAAAGTGCAACTGTTGTTTAACTTGTAGAATGTAGTTTGAAGTTGATTTTATTTCTTTTAACTGTGCCTGAAAGCTGCAGAAAGTCCTGAGACTGGAAATGTGACTCGTGTGGTGCTGTAATCTCACATGGTGCTTTGAGGTGTTCAGTCAGCTGTTCCTCACTCGGGGGCCCTGCAGCGGGGCTGCATTAATGACACACATCCTTAGTGCCTTCAGACTGCCTGCAAACCTGTGCTGCTTGTGGTTGTGATCCTGGAGACAAACAGAGAACTGGTGCTCCTTTGCTGACCAGCATAACAGATCTCTGCTCTGCAGTGAGGTGCTGGTGCCCTGCTGTACTTGTCACAAGGGCTTTGCTCGTTAGGAACAAACTCCACGCAGGGCACTGTTCCTCTGAGTATTAGTCATGCCAAAGACATCAAAGTTTAATATTGCACCAAACGAAACTGCAGCTGTGTGGAGAACTTAGGTCTCATTTGTCAGAGGGATTTTTCACAAAGGTATTTGTGATTTATTTATTTATTGTTACAAACACATTACGGTGTGTGTTAATCTTCTGGGTTGTTACACAATCTAAATCCCAATCAAGTTTTGCATCTTAAGTGTTGGATTGACTTCCCAGAGGGGCCATTGTATGCTCTGTTCTTAAAGATGGAGTCTTGCCTGGAGCTCTAGTACTGGTCTGTAGGAACTTGTAACACTCCTTGGCTCTACATGGTTTGAAGCTTATATTTCATATATAAGCTTATAAATTCTTTTTCTCTGCTTTGTTACTTGGTCCTAGGATAATTCTTGGACTGAGAATTAAGTGCAGCAAATGCACTGGCAAAGTTCCTCTTTTTTCGTATTTGAAAACAAAGAAGTTTCTCAAAGGGGAATTTCTGAAGTTTCTAACTTGTAAATAATTGTTTACCAACATTGCAGAGTTTATGGCAAAAGTATTAAATTGGTGAATCAATGCAGTGGAGAACTTGACTTATGCCAGTAATAAGGTGCAGTAAAACACTTAAGTCCCCTGTAGATGTTTCTTTTTCCGTGAGTGGATAAAAGGCTGTATTTGTCTGGAAGCCCTGTCTGGATACACTGATGGTTTTTGTGGCTTCCTTAGGGCTGTAGGACTCGTGACCAAAGGAGTGGGACAGCAGAGTAAAGCAAAGCACACTTGGCATCTTGGGTTTCCTGTCCCTGTGCTGTGGGAAGTGTGAACTGTTGGTGCTGATCCCATAGCCCTGTGCAAGGACAGTGGAAACTTAAAATACAGTAAAGGCTCCCATCTGTCCTGCTGCACTTGGAGCCACCTTAACTTCCTGCCAGAGCTCTCAGGGAATGCAGGGACATGTGGAAGGTGGGCTGGTGGATGAATTGAGCAGTCCCACTGGAGATTGTGTTAATAGACTGGAAGTCACACGGCTGTCCTAAGTGTAACCCGAGATCTCCCACCTGTGGTGAGGCTTTCTGCTGACAAACAGCCTGGACACCTGAACTCCTCTGGGTGCTGCTCTGCAGATCCTGTTAATGCCAGTGATCTGGAGATGAAACTGTGGAGAGCAGTACTGAAGGAAAGGTTATCAACACCAGTAAAATTGATGGGAACGAGTTGGAAGTGAATCAGCTTCACTGATGGGAAGAGCTCAGCTTGGTTGTGCCACTGTCCCACTCCAGAGCGCTGTTCAGCATGTCTCTGTAGTGCTGAAGTGTTGGACAAAATCAGCTCCTCACTGAAGAGCTTGAAAGAGCTTGAAAAGCTTTTCATTTTCAGTTAATTTATGGGGAGAAAAGAAAAACAGCCAACCATAAACAGAAGAAAAAAATCTCCAATTTGGGGTTTATTTAGAGGAGCTGAAATGAAAAACTTGGTAAACTTGCCCTGATGAGTGAGAGTAACAGTTAACTAGAGAAGTTAACTCTGGTGCAACATGCAAAACCTGGTATTTTAAATAATGAGACAGTACTTGAATTGCAGGTCCAGCCTGACACCAGGAAGCTGCAGTTGTTCATTCCAGAGCTGGGAGCTGCATCTCAGCCCCTTGGGAAGAGCAGGGACAGCTCATGCTTCAGGTGCATGGTGGTACAACAAGATGCTTCCATTAGAGAAGGTTGTGGTGTCCTTTGCCCATGGCCATCGGTGCCTGTCCAGTAACTGCACAGGTCATGGCATAAACTGGATTATTCCAGCCTTGTCGTTAAATTGACCCTTTCTTCCTGGGGTGGGAACCTTGGTTTCTTGAGTATTTTTTCTGTTCTGTGACCTATCAGGGAAGAGAAGTGCGATCCACTCATGGAGTTTGCAAGTTGGCAGTGAAATATTTTGTCTGATACAACAAAAGCTGTATTTTGAATCCACTTTGCATTACTTTTTTTTTCTTTTGAAGGTAATGTAAAATAAATTTGTCACCAGCGCTTGGGCTGTATCGTGTACACAGACCGTGATTTATTAGAGCATAACGAGCTGCAAAAACATTATTCTGCTTTGGAAAGCACATGGAATGTGTGAGGCATATTACAGGGAAAAAGCTGGTCTGTCTTCAGCAGGAAGTGGATTAAAATATCCCATGTGGAATGTTGAAAGGTCGAGTCTAAGCATGGACAAAGCAAATACGCACTGGAGTGTGACACTTGTGCATCGAGTGTACAGAAGGTTTTTGTGATTAAACGTGCTCTGGACAGTTCAGGGGTTGGACTTGTGAGGAATTAGGATTGACAATGCTGGAGTTTGAAATCTCTCTCTGAAGTGAGCTGTTGTTTTGCAAATGCAGACAGCAGCAGGATCATCCTAGTACCCCTGGAGAGGGGAGCAGGCGCAGAGTCCCAGGCAGATCTGTGCCCATGTCCAGGTTATTTCTGTGCTTCACTCAGCTTTTCACACATCACAGGGCAGGGCTGGCTTCTCTGAAGGGTCAGTCAGCTGCTCTTCAGTGCATAGGAAACTGCAGGTTCTAGAGCACAAGCTTCTCACTTTAATGTCAGTGAGAGCCCTGGTCTGGCTTACTTCTGCTTTGAAGTCCTGCCTGGCAAAGGACTCCTTCTTCTGCCACCTCTGCCTTGGAGAGGAAATGTTCTTGGGAGTTCCCCCATCAAGCCAACTCCTTCCAGCAGCTGGAGCAGTGCAGTTTGCATACACAGGAGCAGAAGGTTATTTTTTTTTATCTCAGCCATCTAATCTGTAGCTAGCCAAAAGCAGCAACTAAACTAGTTTATCTAAACTTGGACAGCACAAGATTAATGCTTAAACTTGCTTGCAGGAGTTGAAAACCGGTTTCTGTTGCCATTAGTTGGTTGGAAGGGAAAACAGAGTTGCCGTTATTTTTGGATATGCAAAACAGTTTTGATTTTATTTCTTGCAAACTATAGGACTCCAAGCCCCCTGATACTTGATCAGAACTACATAAACACCAAAAATCAAGTAATCAAAGCAGAAAGGAGGGTACTGAAGGAGTTGGGATTTTGTGTTCATGTCAAGCATCCTCATAAGGTGAGTTCTCAATAATAATGTAATTTTAATTCTTACTCTACCTTGGTGGCATCACTGGGAGCTGTGGAACAAGAAACACAGGTGTCAGAATGACCTGAATTCTTCTCTTTATTCTCCTATAGTTATTAAAGCTTTTGCCAGAGTACTTGGGCAAACAGCCATTTTGACTGAAAAAAGTCACTTCCCTGGGAAAGGATAAAGGTGGCTGGTTTGAAAATAGCAGAAAAATAGTGGAATAAAGAATTGTCTGAACGTGATGGGCTGACATGAGAGCTTGGGGTGTGTGCTTGGGGAGAGAAGGAGCCCCCATTGTTTGGGCATACTGTTTGATTTCATTTTTACATATGTATATATGTACTTCCTTACTCCTGCTTTATGTGTTGAAACTGAATTGTTTTCTTTTTCTTCCCCCCTTTCCTTATTCCTCAGATCATTGTTATGTATTTACAAGTCCTAGAATGTGAACGTAATCAAACCCTGGTACAGACAGCCTGGTAAGTTGCTATTTTCCATTCTTTTCCTAGCCAGGAAAATAGTAGCAGAAATAACAAGCCTGCTGATCCCTATGCAAAGCAATGAGATGTAAGTCACCACCCAAACACATTTGGACAATCTTGTGGTGCTTGTTTCTGCCTACTATTTTCATGGCTTGATTCCAGCATAGCAATGGAGAACTCAATTTAACTTTGTTCTTTTTTCTACTCTTTGATTGAAGGGTAGTCCCTGCTGGTAAGTCATAGAGCTCTGCCCTCTGCACCTCAGCCCATGACCTGGGGATGGCTGCTTTGGCTGCCCTTCTCTCCAGCCAAGCCAGTGCAAGCCTCAGCGAGTTCACTGCCGTCACCCAAAGCCATCGGGCAGCACCTCCTAGTTCTGTCCTGGCGCCAGGATTTGTATATTTGGTTCTAGAAGTAACTGTTACAACTGTTTCTCAATGTCTTTGTTGCCTACCTGCTGTATGTTAAAGGACACGTGGGGGACAATTCTGCCAGCGTTTCTTTAGTTGATTTAACATTTAAACTTGAGTTAAACAGAGGGTGACAGTGCATGCAGCATGTTCACTTAGCAGCCAGCTGGGCATGGGGGTGTAGAGTCCTCACTGACTGACTGCTGTTCTCTCTCCCATGTTGGGAATTTAGAAATCCATGGAGCTCTGCTGCTCACCCCATCTCTGGGCGGGTGTTACTGGCAGTGCCAGCCCTGTGCAGCAGCAGCAGCTCAGGAGGTTGGGGCCCAGTCCTAACTCACACATTTTTTCCAACACTCAGAGAGCAAATGGGGTGCATCTCCCTGGATGAAGTTAAAGTGGCTCAGAGCACACAAAATTTAAATGCAGTTAAGAGTTTTATGAACTCTGCAGGTTGCACGTAGCCTCTGGATAATGGTAGGTTGAAAATGCACCTTGCTCTGCTGATGGCTCATGAGTTCTACATTGATCTTTAAATACAAACCCATTGGTGTTTAAGACAATCAGTTGGACAGATGCAAAGTAATTGTTAAATTGTAACTCAGTGGACACTTCCCAGGGTAACTTGAACTAGGAAGTGGCTGTTCAGCACTGCTTGGATTTACTGCTACACGTCATTGCCTTGGGGTTTAAAACAGTGGCAGTGCTGCAGACTGTCACAGCGACACATGTAAACATCCAGCACAACCTGAAGGAATCACATGTTCAGTGTAACAACAGAAAAAATAATAAAGTCAATTGAGTCTCCAGTATTGTTATCCAATGAAAGAGAAGCAAACTGGAGTTCCAACCGGTGCTGCTTTGTTTTTTCAGGAATTACATGAACGACAGCCTCCGGACGAACGTGTTTGTTCGCTTCCAGCCAGAGACCATCGCGTGTGCGTGCATTTACCTCGCTGCTAGAGCCCTGCAGGTGAGCCCTGCCTGCACTGAGCTCTGCCTGGCACTGCTGCTGCTCTGGCTTCAAGGAAATTCATGGAAATACTTCAACAAAAACTGACCTGAAATCTCCATTAAGCTTCTCCTTGTTTGATTTTCAGATCCCGCTGCCTACCCGTCCCCACTGGTTCCTGCTCTTTGGCACCACAGAAGAGGAGATTCAGGAGATCTGCTTAACAACTCTGAAGCTTTATACCAGAAAGAAGGTGAGTTTGACATGTTGGGGTTTGCTGCTTGATGCTCAGTGCAGCTTGAGCTGAGTTATGGTTGTCCAGAAAAGTTTGGGAATGCCTAATACACATGTGCTAATGAGACAGGCCCAGTAAGGAGAGAACAAATTCTGGAAGTGACATTACTGGACAGATCATTAAAAGCCAACTCAGTATTTTTCAGAAATGAGATATGAATTGCATTAGTTCAGCTTCTTACCTGGTTGCTACCTCCACAGCCCAATTACGAATTTCTGGATAAAGAAGTAGAAAAGAGGAAAATGGCACTACAGGAGGCCAAACTGAAAGCAAAAGGTTTAAATCCAGATGGAACTCCAGCACTCTCAACACTGGGTGGCTTTTCTCCTGCATCCAAACCATGTAAGTCCGTTTTCTGAACAGAAAAACTTTTTTAGGGTTTGGTTTGGTTTTTTTTTCACATAGGTCTTGAAACTAGATTAGAAAGAGATGCTTTATTCCACATTTCCCTAGATAAGAGAGTGATACATCAGTAGTATGCACCCATGAAAGAATAATGAAGCAGGAGTTGCTGTGTGTTCTGTGATGTGAAGAGAGGCTTTTTGGATTTAATTTGGGGGTGCTGCAATAGCCTTCACGGCCCCTCTTGCAGCAGGTATCTGAAAATTCCTTCCCCTGATGGTTTTTAATGTGCTTGGCAACTGTTTGGTGCAGTGAGGGCAGACAGCTGGTGGCAGGAAATGCAGGATGGAGAGGCCCAGCACTGCCTTGGCACCAGAGGGAATTAAATGGAACGTGTATTTTGAACTGGCCAATCTGTCTGAGCTCTCATGGTTTCTCCTGAAGAGTCCTCAGTTTTCAGAGGTGTTTGGGCTGGGCAGTGTGAATTTCTGACTGAACAAGGGAAGTGTTTTCTGCAAGGAGGGGAGCTGAGGTTGGAAGAGTTTGAAAGTAGGAGCTCTGGTGGGCTTAACAGCCCTTCCATGAAAGGTGAATCCATCTCTGGGCTGTACCAACTGTCTGTAGAGACACACTGATGTATTAACTGGATAATTTTACTTATTACTCATTTATATTTGTGCCATTATTGTGAAGATGATATCTAATTTTGCTGGTCAGGCTTAGTCCTTCCTATAGCATTGGAAATAAATGCCGAGGTAGCATGTGCTGTATTGTGGGGCACAAGGGCAGCTTCTGTTTTGTACCTTTTGGCCCCAGGTGAGCATGGCTGTGTGCTCTGAAGGTGCCAGTGCTGTTCCTCCTTCATGGGCAGAGTGTTTCCCCACGAATATGCCATTCCAGGAGTGAATATAAGTGGAGAGATGGGATGAAATAATAGATGTAGAGTTCATATCTACACTTAGTGCAAATCCTGGTGAAGGTGCCTGAGCAGTGTACAGTGTGTTTATGACAAAGGATGAATAAAGAACTAATTCTGAATTGAAATTTAATTCTTAGCTTCCCCAAGAGAAGTAAAAGCTGAGGAGAAATCTCCAGTGTCTGTGAATACCAAAACCGTTAAAAAAGAGCCAGAAGAGAGGCAGCAAACCTCCAAGAGCCCTTACAACGGGTAGGTAAAACTCTCTGCTAAGAGAAGCACTTTGAGCTGCAGTGCAGGGAGCTCCTCCCGAGCCCCTGTGCTGTGTCAGTGCTGAGCACTTCGGTTTGTGCCCTGCAGGCTGAGGAAGGAGAGCAAGAGGAGCCGCAGCAGCCGAAGCGCCAGCCGCTCCCGCTCCCGGACAAAGTCGCGCTCGCGCTCCCACAGCCCCCGCAGGCAGTGAGTGGGGCTGGGCTGGGCTGGGCTGCTCGGGGGGCTGCTGCCTTCAGGGGCACTCCTGAGTGCTGGCCGGCAGAAGGGAGGGGGAGCCTTGGCTTCACTTCAGGCTCTCAGTGCTGGGTGTGGGCTGCGCTTGAGAGTTCAGGCTGTAAAATTAGCCTGTCCTAACCCCACTGTACCTGGGGAGTCTGTGCTGTGCTGGTGTTAGTCTTCCCTTGCTAGTCTTCACGAGGATCCCACTACAACTGAGAGCAGTGTCTGGGAGCACAGTGCCCTTGGAAGGGGATGGAAGTGTCCCAGGTGCACAGCCTCCTTGTGTCAGTGCTCCCTGGTGCAGTGCCTGGCTCTTGAGGGCTCTGCCCCTCTCGTGGTACAGGAGGAGAGGGATGCAGTGAGAGCCACTGCCTTCAGATGGGGTTTCCTAAGAATCTTCAGGCTCACATCTTAAGTTGGAGGCTGCCAGCTTGGATCTCAGTGAAGTCACTGAAGGAAAAAGGCAACACCCAATTTGGACAAAAGATGTTGCATTCTGATTTTAGTTTGAGCTGTTTGTTTTCAAATGAGCTCAACTAAAAGACTCACAAGAGTGGTTGGGGTTGGAAGGACCTTTAATCCCACATCACTGACCCCAGCCTTCCATGGGGCAAGTTCCAAGACATTCCCTGTCCTCCCTCACTTACCCCTGAGGGACAAAGCCTGATTTCTTGCAGTACCTTGGGAGCTGTAAGTGCTGATGTCTGTTTGCTTTTCCCGGTGTGGGGACACGCTGTAACTGTTGCCTCTCTGCAGCTACAACAACCGGCGGAGCCTGTCGGGCACCTACAGCTCCCGCTCGCGCAGCCGCTCGCGCAGCCACAGCGGGAGCCCCCGGCGGCACCACAACCACGGCTCGCCCCACGCCAAGGCCAAGCACGGCCGCGAGGAGCTCAAGGGCAGCAGCAGACACGGCCACAAGCGGAAAAAGTCCCGCTCCCGCTCGCAGAGCAAGTCCCGGGAGCACTCGGAGGCGGCCAAGAAGCACCGGCACGAGCGCGGCCACCACCGGGAACGGCGCGAGCGCTCGCGCTCCTTCGAGCGCTCCCACAAGGGCGGCAAGCACCACGGCAGCGGCCGCTCGGGCCACGGCCGGCACCGCCGCTGAGACACCGGACTGCGGGGCTGGGCCAGCTCCAGCACCGAGCCCTGGGACTGCGGGGCTGGGCCAGCTCCAGCACCGGCACCAAGCCCACGGACTGCGGGGCTGGGCCAGCTCCAGCACCGGCACCGAGCCCACGGACTGCAGGGCTGGGCCAGCTCCAGCACCGAGCCCTGGGACTGCAAGGCTGGGCCAGCTCCACCCTGGCACCGATGCCACAGACTGCAGGACACCGCCAGGGCTGCAGCAGCTTCAACCCCATCTGGTTTCCTAAAAGGTGTAGAAGAATTTTTTTCTTGTGGGAAAGAAACTGTTACCAACTTTTGCACATAATACCTTAGCAGTATCCCAGAGGTGGCAAACGATCAGGTTCACTGTATGTATTAGAGTTGTGTATTGTTTATTGAGCTGAGAACTGGAGAAAGGATTTCTGTAAAAAAGCAAAACGTACATTATTTTTATACCAGTCAATTGCAGACGCTTATATTTAAGTATAGTTATTTGTTTAAACATGGTGGAGACTTTCTTACACTGGTTTTAGTCTGCATGTGTTCAAAGATTTTTACAAAAAATAAAATATAAAGCTTTTTTTTTTTTTTTTACTGCCTGTTGGATGCCAAATACGTGGAAACTAAACTTGGTTTTCTTACACACCGTGGCTTTGACCCCTGTGCCTGCGTGGGACTCGGGGGTGTGGGTGTGCTGCTCTTGGGAGGAGAAAACGGGGAGAGCTTTGGATGTTTGTGTCCTCCTGGGGGTGTGGCACTTGGAATAAATGGTCATGGACTTCTCTGAAGTTCAGTGGGGTGAGGCCGGGCTGGGCTGCTGCTGTCCCCTGTCAGAGCAGGAGCTGCTGGGACATTCCTGGAGCTGTGCCTGCTGTGGGAAAGGAGAGCTGCAAGGGGAGAGGAGGAGTCGGATCTGATTCTGCAGCTGCTGCTCAGGTAGTACCAAGCCCTGGAGCCCGCAGGTGTTTGCTGTCCTGGGCTCCCCCAAAGTGCCTCTCCCTGTTCTGGCTGTGGCTGAGGCTGGAGTGTTCCCCTGCAGAGCCCAGGGGCTGAGGCTGGTCCCTGTCATGGGCAGTGCCAGGACCTGCTGGGCAGATGTTCCACAGCCCTCAGAAAGGAGAGGACACCTGAGCAGGAGCTCCGTGTTGGTACCTCCCTGCCCTGTCCTGCTGGGCCCCCTCTGCAGCTGCTCTGGAAAGGTGGAAAGTGAGTGAGTATTTTCGGGGAGGAGAAGATAAAATGTCTCTGTTTCTTGGTTACCACTGTTTTTCAGTCTAACAACTGTGTTTGTGTGTGTCGTGTTCAGGAAAATGTGGTTGTTGCTATGGAAATTGAAGGAGCTTTTTCCCCCAGCTAGTCCAGAGCAGAGAGAAACCCTGGGTTTGGAGGAGCAGCACCTCTGCCTGCCTTGGGTTTGTGTTGGAGTGACCTGTGGAGGGCTCAGCCCTGGTTTGTGTGAGCACTGACCACCCCTGTGTGCTTCAGAGCTTCCCTTCCCTGAGCAGCTGAGCTGTGGGACAGCAGGACAGCTCCTGCTCCGCGGGCAGCCCAGCAGTGCTCAGTGTTTGTTCTTCACGGGCAGAACTCCTCCCCAGCAGGCTGTGCCAGCTCTGGGACAGCAGCAGCAGATGCCCGGTGGGAGGCACGGCCTGGCCCTGGGGGTCTGTGCGTTCAGCAGGGGCACAAGGGCAGCTGAGAGTCCTGAGGGGCCCCATTCCCTGCAGGATTGGCAGGAGGAGCTGCAGGGCACTGCAGCTGACATGTCCCTGCACCACAGCTCCTGTCTCTCCTAAGACTGAAGTATCCCTGAATTTTGAAGTTTTCATGGAGCTGAGTCAGAGAAATGAGTCATTTGACTTCAAGCACCTGTGCTGACCTCCAGGAGTCCCCTGAGGCTGCATTCTGCTCATATCTCAGTAACTGAGACAATTTTCCTGGGAAATCTGGAGGATTCCTGCCCTGGGTGGTGCTGCAACCTCTGCCACGCTGCTGGAAATCAGGAGCTGCCACTGGGCTCTGAACATCTGAGACTCACAGGGACAGGGAAATATCCCAGCTGGTTCTCCTTGGGCACAGGGTCTCACCCTCAGAGTTTCTTTTTCTCTGAAAAAAGGATTTTGTTAAAATTTTTTGACTAATTTTCAACAAAAAGGTGCAAAGATTTCAAGGCATTTCATACAAACCATTCTGCCTGTCCTTCACTTTCAGGTTTGTTACAGATACTGGAAGGATGAGCATGGACCAGGAGCTTTGGATGGTTTGGGAAGAGGAAAAATGAAAAAGGAGAATATTTTTGATGGAAATTTGCCCAACAGGTTCCTCTCAGGGCTTCAGTCACCCCCAAACCCACAGGTGAGTGGCAGCAGGTGAGGTGATAAGGGCCCCTTATCCAGGAAATCTTTCCCTGGTTGCTGCACCTGCCAAGAAATACTCATAACATCTAGGATTTCACATCAGGCCGAGTCTGTGACTCTCCTGTCCGTGATCCTTGCTGCTTCCAGGCTCCTTGGGGCAGGAAGCAAACCCTCCTGACCAGGCTGGCAATCACATCCCTCTTTGGAAAAAGCACTCCTGCAAAGGAAACAGCTTTCCATCCCTTCCTCCTGCCTGGCCACAGCCCAGCAGGACAATTAAAAGAAAAAAAGTTTAAAACATTAGTAAAGATGGCCTGAAGAAAAAGTCTTTCTATTCCAGTGGAAGGAAAAGACTTGGCAAAAGTGCCCATTTTTGTCCCAGGATGGAGAATCCTTCTGGATGGGTTTGCTGGAGAGAACAAAGGGGTCGTGCCCGCACCCTGCAGAGACATTCCAGCTCCCCAGCCCCTTCATTTCCAGGGGTTCCGTGCCCCCCCTCATTCCCATGGATTCCATGTTCCCCTCACTCCAGTATTCCCCTCACTCCCGGTGTTCCCCCCTCACTCCCGGCGTTCCCCCCTCACTCCCCGTGTTCCCCTCACTCCCGGTGTTCCCCCTCACTCCCGGCGTTCCCCCTCACTCCCCGTGTTCCCTCCCCCCTCACTCCCGGCTGCCGTTCTGGGATCCCTCTGTAGGTGGAAGTGTTGCCGAGCCCAGCGGAGGCTCCCGGCTCTGCCGGGGCTGCCCACACCGAGGGCCACCGAGGTGAGCAGGGGACAAATGTCCTGCCCTGGGCCGGGGACAGAGCAGCCCCGTCCCCGGGGCTCGGCCTCGGCTGGACACCCCAATTCCATCTGCTGGGAGCCGGGGATGGATCAAAGCCTCCAGGGGCGGCACCAGCCACCAGCTGTGGGAGATTCCCCGGGAGGGAGCAGGGACTGGGACAGCTCCGGGGACAGCCCTGAGTGACCCAAAGGGGAGGGAATGGGCGTCCCTCACCATGGCCTGGGCTGCTCCAGGTGTCCCAGAGGAGCTGTGGCTGCCCCATCCCTGGAATGTTCCAGGCCAGGGTGATCCCTCTGAGGCCCGGCAGGTGCTGGGCAGGCCCGGGCCTGTGCCCAGGAGCCAAGGGCGGAAATCCACAGCAAAATGACCTTGAAGCAACTGAGTCTCCTGAAAGGCCCTCACAGATTTAATTACCCCTGTTCAGGGATTGCTGCAGCTTCCCAAAATTCCATGTGACTTGGGAGCCCAGGTTTGCATGGAGCAATCAGGAGCTGAGATTCAAATGCCTGAGGTCCTGTTTTAAAGTGATTTAGAGGGTGAGAAGCTGAGATTTTATTCAAACCCTGAAGGTTTTTCTATGCTTCAGTACCTCTAAAAAAGGAAACACTTTCAGCATCTTTCTGCCAGGTGGAGATGGTTCAAAGTTTGCCCTCCATGCTGAGGAGACACCTGCTCTGAGGACAGTGAGGGCAGCGGGGTGACAGCGACTGAAACGGGACAGAGTGGAGCGGAGAGGCTGGAGCTGTCACCCTGTCCCTTCCAAGGGAATAAATCACCTCCTCCAAGGGCACAGAGCACCCTCCTTCCTCTCCCTCAGCATCTCCCGGCAGGCTGGGAGCGCTGGGCCAGCCCAGCCCCAAACCAGCCCTCCAGAATTCCGTATTTTTCCCCACCAGGATGCTCAGAAGGCCGCGGCCAGGCAGGGTGAGAGCACGGTAGTGCTTTGCCATCGAGGAAACCGCAAGAACAAGCGGAGATGTTATCTCTGACATCTGGCTCCGATCAGAGAGCTCTGGCTGCTGTCAGGAATGGACGGGATGGCCCCAGGGCTGCTTTTTGTTTCAGGGCTCCTCGTGGCTTCCCCGGCAACAGCGAAGCCGACACAGGGATGCCAGAGCTGGCGACACAAAGGCAGCACCGCCACCCTTCCCCTGCCCTCTGCAGAGCCAGCGGCGACCTCGGCGTGGCCAGGGAGCAGCGACGTGTCCTCAGCCACCTTTAACCCCAGGTGAGACTGGCTCATCCAGCCCCACCTGCCACGGCAGGGACACCTCCCACTGTCACAGGTGCTCCCAGCCCTGTCCAGCCCGGCCTTGGGCACTGCCAGGGATCCAGGGGCAGCCACAGCTCTGTGGACACCCCAGGCACTGAGTGTCCTGCTCCAGCTCTCAGGGTTGTGGTGATCATGAGATTTAAGGTCCCAGAATAATTTTCCCTGGGTCAGGCTAAGAGGGAACCCTGGAGACTTTTGCCTTCTGGGATCTGTGCATCTCCTGCACACATGCTGCTCTGTGCCAGGAGCCTGCCCAGGTGTTTTGCTCTCCTCTTATTTCAGGCCATGGCTTTGGATTAAATGCTCATGATCTGAACCCTTAGTTGTGCTGTGATCCAGGGGAGGGGATGTCCCACAGATCCAGGAGAGAATGTTCCAGAGATCCAGGAGAGGGGGCGTTCCACAGATCCAGGGAAAGGATGTCCCACAGATCCAGGGCAGGGGATCTGAGCCCTGGTTGCAGAGTCCCCCTGCATAGCCCTGCCCAGCTGTGGCTCCCCCAGGTCTCTGTTGCTCCAGGGTCAGGCACACACAGATCCTCCCCCGATGTGGACAAGGGACTGTTTCCCTGTCAGATGGATCTTTAGCAGGTTTGGAACATCCTTACCCAGAGCCAGCCAGAGGAAAGGATTTTTGTGTATTTCTATGAATATAGAAAATCCTGAAAAATCCAGAAAATCCACAGAAAATCCTGGTTTCCAGAACCAGCCTTTCATCCAGAGATCAGAAATCCAAGTTCTCCCTGTGTCCAGCTTGAGCAGGTGAATTTGTGCCTCATCCAGCTCCAGCTGCTGCTTCCCTCACCCTCCAAGAGGCGCAGGGATTATTTTCAGAAGGAACCTGCCAAAACACCCCCCAGCCCAGACAAACAGGATGGGGCTGGCAGCCGGTGGGGCCGCGCTGCTGCTCGGTTACACCCCCGAGCCTGGCCCTGCCCGGGCTCCTCCCAGCTGCTCCCGAGGATCCTTTTTTGGGTGCTTTTCCCCGAAGGCACACGTGGTTCTTTGTTCAGAACTTTGTGGTGATTCAAATGACCGCTCAGTCCCGGAAAGTTAAAACAAGCCCTGCAGCCAGCACAGTGCACAGGAAACAGCTGGGGAGAGGATGCTGGAACGGATTTCCATAAAAGCCAATGATTCATGGAAACGTTCAGTGAGCGGGGCCAGCCTCGGGCTCCTGAGGAGCTCCTTCTCCTGACAGACACGATTCCCGAGCCAGCCCCGCCTGTCATTCCCGAATTCCCAGTGCCCGCCCCCAGCACCGGCCGTGGAGCAGAGCAGAGGGAACTCCCAACATGCAGCCTGGGGGTAGCTGGGAGGATGCTACATGCCCGATTTCTGCTGCCAGTGAAATGCTGCTCAGCTGCCCTGGGCTGGGGAAAGGGATGTCAGGAGAGGGCAGTGCCTGTGTTACAGGGGCTGGAGGGACAGGATAAGGGGAATGGCTTCTGCTGCCAGAGGGAAGGGTTGGATGGGATATTGGGAATGAGGAATTGTTCCCAGGCAGGGTGGGCAGGCCCTGGCACAGGGTGCTCAGAGCAGCTGTGCCTGCCCCTGGATCCCTGGCAGTGCCCAAGGCCAGGCTGGACACTGGGGCTGGAGCACCTGGGGCAGTGGGAGGTGTCCCTGCCATGGCAGGGGTGGCACTGGGGGGGATTTAAGGTCCTTCCAACTCAACACAGTCTGTGACAATGGTGGTGGTAATGGTGAAGGACATCTGGGCAGGACAGAGTGTGACCCTCCAGCAGGAAGAAGAACCTGCTGCATTCCATGGCTCTCCAGGCTCCTTTCCTCTGTGCCCACCAGATTTCTTCCAGGACTCTTTCCCCAGAGCCCCAGGCAGGTACTGCCAGCTGGGCACTGCCCCCTGGAGTGGTGCCAGGCCAAACCAAACCACTTTCCACATCCCATAAATCAGGAGATGGAAAATCCCCTTTGGGACACTGGGTTCAGCTGCTCCTGCAGTGCAGGGCTGCTCCTGCCAGGACATTTTCCATGGATATTTCCCACCCACTTGGAATGACTCAAGCACAGGGACTCCACCACTGCAGGGATCCTCTCTGGCTGCACAGCTCCAGGGGAGGGCATTTTCCTCTCTCTCACACTGAGATTTTCCTTTCCAGATGTCAGCTCTTTCCTCCCATCTGGACCCCCTGGGTTATTCCCCCTTTCCCTGACGCTTCCCACCCTGTGTTCATTCCATGCCTGACACCAGTGCCTGAGTCCTGCTGGTCTCAGCCACATCCCACTGCAGGGAACAGGGGGAGTGTGGGGCCTGGAAATGTGGCCTCAGAGACACCCTGGGCCCACCCCCTCAGTGGAAGGTTCTCCATCCCCCTGAGAGGTCTGGTGGCACCTGTGTCCCTGCCTTGGCTCCCCTGGCACTGAGCCCTGTCCCCACCCCGGGAGGAGCAGGGTGGGATCGTTCTGGGCACTGCTGATCCAGAGCCTGGAGGGCCAAGGAGAACAGTCCATGGGGGCTGGCCATGACCTGGGAGCAGCTCCCAGGGCAACGCCAGATGCTCCACACAAATGACATTCCTGGTGTGAAAATCCCCCAACATTAATCTCAGGCAGTGCCCTTTTTATCATCCCACCCCAATGAATTCTGTGTGTGCTGTGAGGATGAAAACCCCAGATTATTGTTTCACACCATCACAGCTGTTTGGGGTTTGTTCTTCCTTCAGCAGGGCACTCTCAACCACCTGTAACCACCAAGGACAAAATCCAACATGGAATTTTCATGATGGAAATAAGGGCCTGTTTTAAATAACTAAAAATGCAGCTGGTGGGGGGGGGGTTGTCTGCGAAGGGAACTTTCCCCAGTTTCATTATCCTACTCTTATTTGGTATTGAAAATGCACAGTACAAAGAAAGACAGTCATGCTTTTATTCTGATTAATACATTTTAATGATCTGTGGCATTAGTTTCTATTTCCATGCACTTTTAACACTGCTTAGGAACTAAGATGCTTTTTCCTGCAGTCCAATTTCTTCTTTTGTAGAAAAACTCCATCTGCAAGGCACAGTCGGGATCCCAGATCCTACACACACCTCAGAGCAAGGTCTAGTGATCATCCCAGCTTTGGTTTGTGATATCCCAGTGGGAATGAAGTGATATCCATGGCAAGCTGTGCATGGCCCGTGCTGATCCCAATTTCTGCTGGAGGAGAAGCAGGACCAGACAGGGGCTGGACTCTCCATCACATCATCTGTGGAGAACATTGCATTTTGGGCAACTTCAGGTGGGAAAAGGATGAGCCACACTGAGGCACTGACTGAGATTCCAGGGCTCCTCTTGTGCTGTCCCTTTGTCCCCTGGGAGCAGGGACAGCCAGGAGGCTTTGGCCACACCAGGGATGTGTCTGGGGCTCACACAGAGCATCAGCCCCAGCCCACCGAGCCCCATTTCCCTGCCTGGCACAGGGGACTGATCCTGTCTGGAAAGGTTCAGGGCTGCAGGAGCTCCCTCCAGAGCAGGCACCACCCCCAGCTCTGCCAGGGGCAGTCTGAAGCCTTTCCAGCAGGGAAGGACAGGACAGCCTCGTGCCATGGGATGTTTTCTCCAAGGGAAGGGCTGGAATGCTGCCCACGGCCAGCAGGGCAGGATCCACAGGGACAGGTTTGTTCCTGGAGCTTTATTTGGCTTTGCCTTGTGCCACGAGTCCTGGAGTGCAAGGTCCCTGACACCACTCCTACAAGAACTTCCTGCAGGAAGTTTGATTTCCTAAAATTTCAGGGCTGTAATGAGGTGTCCACATCCTCTGTGGCACTTTGTGCTCTGCCTGTCATCCCACCATGGAAAACACTTGGTAAACTTTCCTTGACATGGTGAGATTCATTAAATTGTTTTCAAAGCCAGTTAAAAAGGGTCCCTGACATTTCCATATTTTGTTTATTGCTTAGCAGCAGGAGCTCCGGGTTCTGGGAGGGAGGGGGAGAAGGGAAATATTTGTTCTGGACTTGGTTTGCCTCCAGGACCTGGCCACTCCCTCGTGCCAGAGCCACGATCCCGTTCCTGCTCCCGTTATTTTACTGTTCCTCCCTGGCCACACTCCTCCTTCACTGCAGCTGCTGCTCCAGGACAGAAACAGGGGGATAAGAGCCCAGGTTTGAGATGATGGAATCATGCAATCACAGACTGATTTGAGTTGGAAGGGACCTCAAAGCTCATCCAGTTCCTGTCCCAGGCTGTTCCCAGCCCCATCCATCCTGGATCCTGTGATGCTGGGCCATTATTCCCTGCCCAGGGCCAGGACGTTGGAATGGGATGAACTTTAAGGCCCCTTCCAACCCAAACCTTCTGGGATCCAGGCGTTTTCTGATTTCAATCCCACTCATTGAAGATGTGCTGCTCTTTGTGCTCCTCTTGGAGAGACTCTTTTCACTTTTCCCATCTTGAAATGTGCCCAGCATTTAATTACACCATGAATAAATTATTGGACAGATAAAAGATATTACCTCAAAAATAAACAAAAAATTTCACTGGATTTTAAATTGTAGGAATGGATGAGTTCGGGAGGTGCTCCTTCGGAGGCTGGAATGGTTTCCCAGGCGGAGCTGTCAGAGCTGGCTCGGCCGGTGCCTCATCCCGGCGGGGACCCGGCCGCGGGGTTCGCCCGGCGGGGCCGCCCTTCCCTTGGGAGCATCCAGGGATCCGGCGCTGCTGCCGCCGTGCCGGCCCGAGCCGGGGGCCCGGGCAGCCCTGGCCGTGCCCAGCGCTCCGGAGAGGCGCAGCTCCCCGGCGGGGAGGGTCCCGCTGAGCCTCCGCAGCTCCAGCACCTGCTCCCGGGCCCGGCCCAGCGCCGCCGTCAGCTCGAAGCGCTCCTCGCACTCCCGGCGCACCGTGTCCTGCAGCAGGGAATTCTGCAACCAGAAACACCGGGAATGTGCCATCCATCACACCTGGGCTCTCTGGGGGCACTGTCCCTGCAGCAGGGAATTCTGCACAGAAACACCGGGAATGCCCCAGCCATCACACCTGGGCTCTCTGGGGGCACTGTCCCTGCAGCAGGGAATTCTGCACAGAAACACCGGGAATGTGCCATCCATCACACCTGGGCTCTCCTGGGACAGGGACCCGCCCTGCACTGTCCTGCTGTTCCCTAGGGAGCCAGCGGGACATCCCAGGGAAGTGCTCAGAAGGTGCTCCTGCTCTCCTGCCCAGCTGGGAGAACTGGGAATGCTGCTCTTGGGAAGGGAAGGCAGTAATGGACAGAGGTGCAGTGACACCAAGGGGTTAATGCTGCGTTTCCCTGGAACCCTCTGCAGTGGAAGAGCACAGCCTGCATGGAGTCATGGAATCAGGAATGGAGCTAGGAATGGAGCCAGGTATGAAACCAGGTGTGGAACCAAGTGTGGAACTAGGAATGGAATCAGGTGTGGAATAAGGAATGGAGCCAAGTATGGAACCACATGTGGAACTAGGAATGGAACCACGTGTGGAACCAGGTATGGAACCAGATGTGGAACCAGGACTGGACACATGGAGTCATGGAATCACTCATGGGAAGGCCATGCAGCCCCCCTGCTGCCCCAGCACTGCCAAGGCCCCTCTATCCCACGTCCCCATCCTTGGGCACAGATCGGGCACAGCCTCACTGGAATTCCACTCACACCTTTCCCAACCTTTCCAAGGAATAAATCAGTACCAACCCCAGCACCAATTCACTTGGAAGAGTTTTATTTTTGCTGTTGACCAATTCTTTTTCCTGCCACTGAATTGCTTTGGACATTCCAGCCTAATCTTATCTGTAGTCCCTGACTCCACATTTCCCATGGAGCAGCTCTCTCCTCCCTTCCCATTATATTCCAAGCATTCAGCAAATGTTTGTGGTCAGAATATCCATCAGTTGAATTTCTCTTTGCATTTAATTCATTTTTATGCATTCCTGAGTTAGGGAACGTGGCTGCACTGGTGGGAGCTGGGGCACCAGTTCAAGGAATGAGAAATATCCGTGTCTTCTACTCTAAAAACTGGGAATTCTTCATTGTTTACTCATGTTTGGGCAGTGGGACATGAGGCTACAGACTAAGAAAGGTCTTGCAGGATCTGAAAAATAATTTTTAATAATATATTTTTCTATGAAGTGCTAATTTAAGCATTTGCTGAATTAAAACTTCTTTTGTGATGTACTGTATTTAGGAAATGATGATGGATTTGTCTGAGAAATCTTTGCATTTCAGTGGATTTTCTGGTCACAGACCTTTGAATGATTTTAGAAATCACATGTCTCCAAGTAAAAATAACCAGGCATTTCCTGGGTCCTGTTCCTACCTCCTCTTGAACTTGACTCAAGCTGTGAATCAGCTGTGTCTTCTCCTGGGTTAATTTTTCCAGTTCATCTGACTTGTGCTTAATTTCTTTCCTCAGTTTATCCAGGAATGATTCATTGTTGCTCTTTTCCATGGTCAGCTGGAACTCAAGCTCACTGATGAGCCTTTTAAGGCTCTGGATTTCTTTTTCCTTGTCTCCATCCTTCTCTGCCACTTTCATTTGGGCATCTTGGAGCTTCTTCTCCAGAATTTCCATCTCCATCCTCAAGCTCTTGGTGGCACTGGATATTAAACCTGGGATCTGGGTGAGATCAGACAGGAATTAATCTCCACTCAGTACCTCTAAATATGGAGAATTAATAGCAGACAAATGGAGACTTGAGGAAAAAACCAACAAATTCAAACTTGCAGGTCCTCAGAGAGAAAAAAAGCTCTGAATTTACATAATTCCCTCAGAGGACACCAGAGAGCTGTAAATTAATCACCACTCACTGAGAACACAGAGATTAATTAGTGTGTTCAAGATCAAATAGAGACATTGAGGTAAAAAAAGGGAAAATTTAACTTCAAGTTAAATTTACTGCAAGGCGGTGTTTCCTCAGGGTTTAAAAACCATGGTTAAATATTTGCCAAGTGAACAAAGCCAAACTTATTTTCAGCTCTAAATCACAGTGTCCCAGATTTTAAATAATAATAAAACCTCATCACATGCCTTTCATTTTTCCAGATCTCTCAGATTTTCTCAGGAATTGTACCAAACCTTTTGGAAACTCAGGTTACAGGTACAATTTCTCAATTTCTACATAAAACTTGAGGGGGATCTGGAGCTCCCAGCCCCCTGCGGTGCCAGCACCACTCCAGCCCAGCAGGTTTTACTGGCCCTGGAGCTGCTGGGTTCCCTTGGGAAGGGGAAAAATATGGGTGGGATTGTGGCACCTCATCATAGCCTGAAACAGCCCCAAGCTTTTAAAAAGTGATGATGTCAGATTAAATATAATTAGCAACTCTGGGGACATAGAAGGAGTTTTGGTGGTGAGAAAGAACTTCCATACCAAATAACTTGAACTGGAATAGTTATTTTCAGCTTGTTCTATTAAAAAAAAAATTAAATATACTAAGAGTGTGAGAAAGTACTATATCATCCAGAGAGAGGATGACACACAGAGAAGTTCATTCCTTCACATCCCCATTTTTTACAGTTTTCTGTGATCTTCTGCCACAAGTTTTCTCTTGAGCATTGCACACCTTCTGCTGGAGCTCCTCGTGCTCTCTCTGGTACTTTGTGATCAGTTCCTGCTGTTTTTGTCTCTCCAGCTCCAGCTCCACTCTGGCCTCTTCCCTGACTTTGAGAATTGCTTCTTTGTGCCGAGCCTCCCCTTTGGCCAGGTCCATCTCCAGCTGGGGGACAAGAGGGGTCAGTGTGTCCTGTCCCTCCATCCTTGTCCCCAGTCCCTGGAAGGTCACAAGGAGCTCATCCCAGACCCTTCTCCAGCTGGAATATTGGGTGAAGTTTCCCAGTGCTTACAGCATCTCCAACAATTCCCATTATAAATTCAGCCATCATTTCCCCAATAGAAAATTCTGGATTCTGGAGGAAACCCTGAAGGCTGCACTTAGGAGAACACTTTTCCTAACCCAGGCTGCTCCTATTCCTTCGTGCAGCTGATTCTGATGGATTTAATTGCAGCAGGCTGAGAGCACAACAGGCACATTAAATGCACAACACAAACCTCATTATTTCCATGATTAAAAGCACAAAAGCCCACAATGAGCTTAATTACAATTATCTAATTCCACACATTATTATGAGCAGAAATATAATAAATCTCCCCAATGTCTTTAGGGGAAAAAGAGAAACTGGAAATATTTTCATTATTTTTTAAAGCAAAATACACCCAATTCTGGGGGTGGAAGAGGTGCAAATCCCCCACTAAGTTATAGTTAAAAACTGTTGTATTTGTAAGATGCTTCAAGTAGACTCTAATCATAATAATAATAATAACAATACTAATAATACCTATTAATGCTAACTCTATTATAATTATTTTACATGGATAATTATATTATATTATATTAATATATATTCAATAATTACATTATAACACTATATTAATTAGTACAAATGTAATTATTATATCATTAATAGTAATTATTATATATTATTAAGAATAGTAATAATTAATATATGATAGCTAATATTTATTATGTATAATAATTACTACATATAATATTAATATGTACAGAATATAATATAGTGTTAATTGTGTTTGTATTATAATTCTATTACCTATAATGATGTGTATTTATTATTAATATTCATATCAATATTAATATTTTTATGTTCTTAGATGGGAGTTGGGACTCTGAACCTAAATCCCCAAATTTATTAACTCTGCCTGTCATTACAGGTCCTGATCACTTGTTGGAGGCTCCTTGACTCCACAGACTAAACAATTAAAGGCAATACAAAAACCTGAGCCCACTCACACAAACCATTTCCCATTTAATAGTTGAAATTAATGAAGCTGAGATGCAGAACAGGAAATGAAGAGGAGGCTGCTGTTCCAAGAGAGCACTGGGCACTAATTGACTCACACGCCCCTCGTTAATTAATACTGTGAAAAAATGAGTGCACCCATCTCTTCAGGAGGGGTTTCTCCGTGGAAAGGGAGGCTCAGGGAAGGACAGGACCACAGCTGGAGGTGCCAGGCAGTGCCAGGACGTGGCCCTGGGGCTCTGGTGGCAGCTTTGGCCCCTCAGAGGTGGGACTTGATGACCTTGGGGGACTTTTCCAGCCTCAGTAACCCTGGGGTTCCATAAATGGTGTGTTCCAAGGGACTTATTTCTTAAATTGCTTCCTGAAAGTAATTTAAGAAATTTAAGTAATTTAATTTTTTTTTTGTTCCACTAAAACAATTTCAGGTTTAAATGTATTTTAAACAGAAACCTTGGCCCTCTGGTGCTCTGCAGTGCACAAACCAAAGGCAATGTTGTCACTTTGTCACTTTGCTGATTTTTTTGGCTGCTGAGCCAAGTTTTGGGGCCTTGCTGTGGGTGCATTTTAATGGCTGTGACACCAAAGCTGAAATTGCTCCCTCTCCCTCCCACCAATCTTTATTTTGTTCTCATGTCAGGTTGAAAACACTCTGATTGTGGAGCCAGCCTGATCCCCTTCCCAAATTATATCCTGTGACAGGGAAGTGAAGGGGTTTCCAAAGAAATGTAACTGATCCTAATTGCTACCAGTCCCCAAGTTTTCCTGGGGCTAAATAAAGCTTTCAGACACTGAAACAAAAAGTACAGTAATTTCAGTCACCAATTATGTGAGGCTTAAATCAGACAAGTCACAGTTATTGTTCAACTTTGCTTTTAAATTTTCCTTCACTGATGTATACACTTATTTTAATTTCTTATTCTTTTTAATATTTTAAAATTCTTTTTAAAACATAAATATATTTTATTTATTATTCTTTTTAATAGATGAATATATTTTTGTTTCTTATTCAGTTCAGGGTTTTTTGGTGCTCATGATAAAAGCTGCAGATGAAAACAAGGTTGACATGGTGACAGTTGTTCATGGGAAGCAGCTTCCCAAATGCCACTGGAAGAGGCAGGGGGATATCATGAGGATCCTCTGGACAAAGGCTATCATGGACAAGCTGGGGCTGCCCCTGGATCCCTGGCAGTGCCCAAGGCCAGGCTGGGCAGGCTTTGGAGCCCCTGGGACATGGAAGGTGTCCCTGCCATGGCTGGGGTGACACTGGAGGGGCTTTAAGGTCCCAAACCAGGTTGGGATCCTGTGATTCCATGAGCTTCAGCAAACATGAAGTGTGCTTTTGGAAACAGGAGGCTCCCACACAAACCCTTCCCTGTGAATTCAGGGCTCTGAGGCCCCAGCAGACCCAGAGGCCAAAGGCAAACAAGATTTGTGTGCTCCTGACAGAATTTTTGGCCGAGTCGCTTCCAAACCGGGCTGTGTATGATTCCATGACTCCACCACACGTGGCACTGGAGATCATTCCCTGCTTCCCTGTGCCCTTTGTGGAACTGAGCCCCCAAAGCAGAGCCCCCAGGGTCACCTTGTCCCTCCAGGAGTCCTCACTCTGCACCTTCTGCCTCAGCGTCTCCTGCAGCTGCTCCGTCCTGCTCTTCAGCAGCTCCCTAAAAACACAAATTCCACATAAATGGAATTTACATTTACTGTGCCCACACTGCTGGAATGCCCTGGCCTTGCAATGAATCCTGCTCGTCCTTGCCCCAGGAATCCCCACTTGGAATCTCCACCACACCCTCACTTGGCTCCTGAATTTCATGTTTTAAAGAAAATGCGGTGCTTGATCGTCCACTTCAAATGGCATTTTAATATTTCTTTGACATTTTCAAGACAAATTTCAAAGAACACAGAAAAACTTCAAATATTCTACCCAGAACTTGTATTTCATGAACTTGGAATATTAGGATCATTAATTAAAAAATTGTAATGGGTTTGGAATGAAAACCACTGAGTGCTTTCTGTCGTTCAAGGAACTGTTTGTTATGGGGGGCTTGTAGGGCAAGACTCCTGGAGAGGTTAAATTCCTGTCACTGATGTTGTTAACAACTTGTCCACCTCAAAAATGCCCCAGTATTCCCTCAGCCAGGGTCCTGGACAGGACCTGGTGCTTGGGGAGGTGTGAGAGCAGCTTCCCAGCAGTTCAGCCTGGCTCTGAAGGGTCTCAGCTGTGAACAAAGCTGCCACTGTCCCTGGGATTGCTTTTGAGATGTGCAAAATAAAGCACTGGGCTTCTGAGGGCTGTTTTCCCTGGAATGGGATTGAGTTTGAGTGCCTATGCTTTGGACTCACCAAGCTGAATCCATGTATTTTTAATTACCTGCCATGGAATCTCCATCTCCAGTTTTACTCCTGAGAGCCACAGTGATTTCAGCACTCAGAAGTGCCAGGAGGCACCAACTGCTCTGCATTTCAGGGTTGGAATATTCCCTGCACCTTGGGCACACAGAGCAGCTGAACAGCTGCAGAAATGGGGCTTTGGGGCTCAGACTAAACTCCAGCTGAAGCCCTGCAGTCCAAGGAAACTTCTCTACTCCTATTTTTAATAGTACTTTTTCTTCCCTTCATCCACGTTTTGTTTATCCCATTATAATTTAAAAACCCAATCCAATGACCCCCAAAATCTCCAGAGTTTCCAGGAGCACCTGAGTCCAGCTCAGCTCCCTTTACCTCTCCTGTTTCAGCATCAGCACCTCCTGCTCTGTTTGGCCCAGCAGAGCTTTAAGGGTTTCCAGCTCACTCTCTGATCTCCCAGTTCTTCTTTTCAGATCTTCTTCTCTCCTTTCTTTCTCAGCCACCTCCTCCTGTAAATGTTTGCAGACTTGTTGGCAAACAAGAAGGGATTCCTCCTTTTCCTTCAGCTCTTTTGTAAGTCTACAGATGAAATAAAGAAACAGCAGCATTGTAGTTACTATATTCTTATTTATAGACAGAAATAATAATGCCTAGAAAAAAATATTGGTCAAAACCCCATGTGTTTTTTTATGAAGTTAAATATACTGACTTGACAGAAAATTCTTTTAATGTATTGCATAAAAACTGCATTAAAATAATAAAATGTTTGCTGTCATTGCTCAAAAAGATGAAATATCATTTCAGCATTTACCTGGACTCAGCAATTCCATTCTCATATTTGATCTTTTTCAGTTCGTTTTGACAGACATCAAGTTCTGTTGACTTCACCCTAAAAAAACATTGGTAAAAAAGGATATTATCCAAAGAAATGAGCCTTTACTCCTGCAGCAGCTGGATATCACTTCTGGGTGTATTTTCCCCCTTGCATTTTCCCTTTCAGGTAAAAGGCCACGAACAGAAAGTTGTGTCAGCTCCAGCAATGGTTGTTAATAATTGGAAGTTACACTTCCAGTGCCATCTCAGCCTGTCCTGGATCACAAATGGTGCAAACAAGAAGTGAGATCTTGCAACACTGATGACAGTTTTGAGTAATAAATGAATAAAACGGAACAAATCCCAATTTTGTAGGTAAAAGGGCTGGAAACTGCAGGTTTCATGTCATTATGTCACCATTGCACCAATTAATAACCATGGCTAAGGTTCATATTTACATTCAAACAGATATAGAATATGTTGTTTTATTAAACTGTGCCCATATTACTGAAATGTCAATTTACACTTGGAAAGCCCTCAGGGTTTATTTAACTGTGTTCATGACATCTTTGTTTCCCACTCAATCCTTACATTATCACTCAAGTACTTTGTTGCTAAGCACCCCAAATATTTGGTCGTGGTCAGAGCCCCCGAGTGCAGGCACTGGAAGCAGAAGGTGCAGAGCACGAGAGCACAGTCCCTGAGCTCAGGCTGCAGGGCACAGAGCTGGTGGTGGCACGAGCCTGGCAGTGCCAGCTCCTGACTCCTGAGCCTCACAAGCACCACTGGTGCCTCTTCAGCTTCCTCTGGCTCCTGGATCCCTCTGGATTCTCCTGGAGGTGATGTCCCCCAGAGCCCGCTGAGGTTCTCAGCACTCAGCTGTGGAATTTGTAATGTTTTGTGGTGTTGGGGTGCCAGGCTCCTGCTGTGGGAGTGCTCTGGAAATGGGAGAGAATCCTGCAATGGTTTGGGCTGGAAGGGACCCCAAAGCCCATCTTGTTCCACCCACACTTTCCATAGACCAGGCTGCTCCAAACCCCATCCAGCCTGGCCTTGGGCACTGCCAAGGATCCAGGAACAGCCACAAATGCCCTGGAAAACCTGTGCCAGGCCTGCCCACCCTCCCAGGGAACAACTCCTAATTCCCAATATCCCACCCAACCCTGCCCTCTGGCAGTGCTCTATCACTATATATTCCTTCCTTCCTACATAAAAATGTGTATATATACACATGTTCAGTCCTGAAGCTAGGTGGATTTCCCAAAACTCCTCCTACCCCTGTGTGTTAGGTGAGGCTCCTTATCCCTCTGCAGTTCCAGCAATCCCTGCTGGAGGAAGGAAGCCCTGCTCCCACAGCCAGACTGCCTCAGGCAGGTGCTTAGAATTAATCCCATGGAGATAAAATAGTTCCTCTGTTGGTCAGAACCTTCTCAGAGCACTGTGACAAGCAGCACTTGCTGGGAAAAAAAAAAGTGGTTGATGTGTTTTATGGGCAGTGGGAAGCAATCAAGGAATGGGAATCTTACAGCAACAGCTTCTTGTAGTGGTCCATCTCTGCTGTCACCTTCTGCAGCTGCAGGCCAGCTGTCTCCACCTGATTTGTTAAATCTGAAAGCAAAAACACGAGGTTGTGTCTCTGTTCATGTTAAATCAATCCACTTCAGTGGTTTGTTTCCAGGTGGGACCTGCAGCTCCTCGCTCCCACCTCAGGCAGAGCAGTGCACATGAGCAGAGTGTCTCTACAGCAAAAAGCTGGGGTTTGTTTGTGTGTTTGGGGCTTTTTATCCCACCAGAAAACACCAAATGCAACTACACTGAAACATGAAATCAGATTGTTTATACAGAGAACAAACAGATGCAGGAAGGTGGCCCCAAAACTCACCTGGAATTCACTTCATCTGAAACCCTGGCAGCAATTAAATGATTTATTTGTCTTATCCTCTACATGTCATCCTCCAGAACACATCACCTCAGCTGCCATCAGCCACTGCCTTTTTCCCAGTACAATCCCTGGTTTTTTAGTTAAATTATCTCACTTGGTTTTGTGTGCCTTAATATCACCCTTTTCTGTGCTTTTAAATCCCAAGAACAGCCATAGCTGGCAGATGTGAAGCCCTTTAAGCTGAAGCAGCAGCACATGGCTCAATCAGAGTTTCACCTCCATGAACATATCACAGAATCATGGAATGCCTTGGGCTGGGAGGGACCTTAAAGCTCATCCAGTCCCAGCTCCCTTCCACTGTCCCAGGCTGCTCCAAGCCCCATCCTGGAACACCTCAGGGATGGGGCAGCCACAGCAACCTGGGCATCTCTAAATATCCTCATGAACAAGAGCTGCCTTTCCAGAAAGCCTAAGAATGATTTGAAATCAAAGTTTCTACCAAAAGGACATCAAGACAAACTACATGGAAAAAAATCCAATGGCAAATCATTGCAACAGATCTGGAAGTGAAAGAAAAAGCAAGATTATTCCTCAGAAAGCAGCAGCAAACAAAGTGAGGGGACCTTGTCTCTGAAGGGAACAGCTCCCGTGACAGTCCTTCAAAGCTCCCTGATGCATCTTCCCAGAAGCCAAATCTGCCACTCCTGTTCTTAAATTCATCATTTCACCCCAATTCCCTGAATTTCTGTGACTTTTCCCACATGTCTCTGTCAGTCACTTCCAGCAATGATGATGGATGATCCCAGTGTGGGATTTCCTGCCAGCCACACCTTATCTTGATAAATCCTACAAGTGGAAGAGTCCCCTCTTTTCAGTAAAGGGAAAAGGAAAATGGTCCATAAGACTACAACAAAAATAATCAGGGAGATAATTATAAAGGGTAAAACACACAGGACGAGCCAGATCCACTCCCAAACTATCAGCATTTATAAAGAGCTTTTTGAGGAGAACAGTAATATTTCTTGGACTTGATTGAACCCTTGGAAAAATGGAAATTAATTGTAGAAGCAGCTTCTGCAGCACCTGCCGTGGGTGCCAGAGCCAATCAAACACCAAACAAACCCATCATTTTTGTGTAATGCACCTTTGTGACAGCCCTGTGCTGTCACTGCCATGGCTGGAGGCAGGACTGAGCGAGCAGAGCTCCAAGCTGTGACAAGTGGTGGCCTCTCCCCTGGTCTCTGAGCCAGCAGCAGTGGCCCAGCACCTCTGGACACATCAGGCACCTGCAGCCCCTGCTGCTCCCCTCGCTGGGCATTCCTCAGCCTTGTCCTGCACTTTCCCAAAGCTGAAGAATCCAGCTTCCATTTCCTGGCAGAATTCCTGCAGAAAAGGGAGAAGCTCTGGCTTCAGCTGCCCAGCAGATGTGAGGCACAGCAGTGGGGAGCAGCCAGCCCTGGCAGCAGGAACTCTGTGACTCTGTGACACAGATGAAGCCCAGATTAGTGTGGGTGGACACCAGACAGAGCAGAGCCCTCTGCCCATCCTCACAGAGAAGAGTTTCCCCAAACAACTCTTTCTGACCTGTTAAAAATTGTTGGTTTAAAAGATTTCTGCCAATAATTAATAACTGTGGTCTTTTTCTTCTCCCTCAGTGTGGGAGTGTGGACACAAGTTCTGGAATAAAGGAAAAGGAGAGGGATGATGCTTGGTTTGGTTCTGTACTTTGGGTGGTCTCTCTCAAAGCTGTTTCCTCTTTCACTCCATTTGTTCTCAGAAGTTTTCATGCTCACTGAGCATGGACAGGAGTTTTTCATGAGGGAATAGATGGATTTAATTACACAAATAGTTTCTGCAAGTCTTCTCGAGAGAGAATTCCCACCAAGGTCAGTGGGAGCTGGTGAGCAGAAAGTCCCACACCCATGGAGGCAGATGTCAATGAAAACCATGGTGAAAATGAGGCAACTAATAAGGAGAATGGCAATACAAAGGGAAACTGCTCAACCTGCTGAACAGAGGAAAATGTACTCAACCCCTTATGTAAAAATGTTCTCTGGTAATGAAAATAAAGCCTGTTGCAAAACATGCAAAGAACTCACACTCTGTAATACTGATACTGGCTCAATGCTGCAGGAACCACCTCATCTCAAAGACTCAGCAGGTCAAATCCATCTCAGTTTCACTTCTGTTGAATTTTACTTATTTCTGTGACTCAGAATGGCTCTCAGCACAGTCACAAACCTTCCAGTAACCTTCTGTGAGCAGTGCTGTGACAGGGACAGGGACTGAGGGGCACAGCCCGGCCGTGCACGAGGACCTGACGAGCCACAGAAACAGAGACAGAACAAACTGGGCACTGTTCCCTCTTCCTTGGGCAAACTGCATCACTGCAGCCCCTGGTGTGTGCCAAACACCCAGCAGAGCCTGCCCACAGCTGCCTTTCAGGAATGGAACCACCCAGTCTGCATCCAAGGGCACGGTGCCCCAGCTCCTGCCTGGAAACAGCAACAACTGGTGAAGTTTTCAGTGAAAAATAAAAATATTAAGCAGCCCCTCTGGAAGCCATCAGCTCCACAGCTAATTCCTACCAGATTCCCAGTGAGGCTGGATCAGAGGCACACGTGGTAGAGCTGTGTAATTTTCTGCTTTTCCTGCAAAACCTACAAAATCCAATCCAATATAATAGCTGACAATTTGGGGGTGATCTAAATAAAAGCTCAATGTTTCATACATGTGCACAACAAAGAAGATTATTTCATTATTTCATCTATTCAAATAGATCATGGAATCCCAGAATGGCAGAATGGTTTGGGTTGAAGGGACCTTAAATGCCACCCAGTGCCACCCAGTGCCAGCCCTGCCATGGCAGGGACACCTCCCACTGCCCCAGGTGCTCCAGCCCCATCCAGCCTGGCCTGGGGCACCTGCAGGGAAGGAGCAGCCACAGCTTGAGGCTCAAAGCCATCTGCCACCCCCCAGGAGGGTTGGGATCCTCCACCTTCCCCTCCCTCCACTTTGGGTCCCCTCCCAGCCACCAGGGACCAGCTGGAGCCCACGGGGAGCTCAGAGCTGGGAGATGGTCAAGGAACTGGAACAGAGAGCACACAGATCCCTGGCCAAGGCAGGCTGCAACCCAGCCCCTCTTGCTGGATTTCTCCTGGATTCTGGGAAATAGGAAGTTGTAGCAATTATTTAAAACTTACTTGATAACTACCCCTTGTATGGGCCCTGAATTTGGCCAATCAGCTGTGCCAAAGGGGGCAAAAATATTTAATTTTTCTCAGAACACTAATTCCAGGCAAAGTCAGAGGTACACTCAGCACAGATAGTTCCCAGTACAATTTTTTAAAGAGCATAGCAGACAATCTGTGAGAAATATGAAATACATGCATGAAAAATTACAGTGTCAGAGCAGGAAAACGTTGCCTCACCACGTGTTTCTAAGGAGACCAAAGAAGTGAAGTAACACCCCAAGGCCCTGCACAGCACAGAACTAATTCTTTGTATTTATAATAGCTCATGTACTGTGTTCTCTAAGATAATTTTTTTTTGTCTACACAACAAAGTCCTTCTTTTAATTTGTGACTCACAAAAGTCTGGAAGGAGCCCAGGGATGGATTCCAGATTGAGATCCCTTCTGGAGACCTCCCCAGTGCCATCAGGAAGTGTCCAAATCACCCAGAGCTGCCAGGAGCTGGGAGGATGTGCCAGGAGAGGAGTGGCTGAGGTTTATCTCCCCCAGCAGATGTTGCTGACCACGGCCAGACCGGGCTCCATGGCCCCCTGCTTCATTCTTCCAGAAATCAGAAATTTTCTTCAGAAAACCAGCAGAGAAAAAGGGACCAGATTCTAAACGGTTCTGAGTGGCACAAATCAGGGGCAGCCTCAACAGAACAAACCAACAACGGCAACCATGCAAACATGGCAATCTCCAAGACCTTAAAAATCCTTAAAAAGGGAAAAAGTGTTGTTCTGGCAAAGCCTGCTCTCCTCCCACGCCCCCAGTGACACAGTACAAGCACTCCTGCCCTCGGAAGGACTGGCTTTGCTCATCCATGGCCAGAGTTCACACTCCAGCATCAAAGGCCTGGGTCTAAAGCCTGGATTTTCTGCCTGTATTCCTGCCTGCTTGAAGCCAGGCTAATTGGGATATGTCACAATTCCTACAGACCTGCTTCTCCTACACATTAACATTGGCTTGAAATACTGGAAACACTAAACAGTAAAAACATGGAGATCCTCACCTTGATTTTCCTTGGGGATAATTTTTTACCCTCAATGTTTAGGCCAAGCAGACAAAACAAAATTCAATAAAGACACATCCTTTAATACAGAATCATGGTTTGGGTTGGCACAGGTGCTCCTCCCACCCAGTGCCACCCCTGCCATGCAGGGACACCTCCCACTGTCCCAGGTGCTCCAGCCCCAGTGTCCAGCCTGGCCTTGGGCACTGCCAGGGATCCAGGGGCAGCCACAGCTGCTCTGGGAATCCCAGCCCAGCCAGGAATTCCCAATTCCCAATCTCCCATCCATCCCTGCCCTCTGGCAGTGGGAGCCATTCCCTGTGTCCTGTCCCTCCATCCTTGTCCCCAGTCCCTCTGCAGCTCTCCTGGAGCCCCTTCATTCCCTGGCAGGGCTCTGAGCTCTCCTGGATCCTTCTCCTCTCCCAGTCTGGCTCCAGGGGAGAACCTGGATTCCTGCTTTTCCTCAGGAAGCCAAGTGTGGCCCTTCTCTCAGTGCCACTGCAGCAGCCTGGTCCCAGCCCCTGGCAGGGAGCTGGGATTGTTTGCCATGGATTCCTGGGCCTCCTCTGGCACTCAGGCTGCTGAAAGCTCTAATGAGCCATGGCCTCTCACTCTCTGCTCCAACAGCAGCCCTGTATTCCCCGGCTCTCACCCTCCCCAGCCTCCCCACCGCAGCTGGAATTCATAAAAAAATACATTTCAACAGCACTTACAGCTGGCTGATCTGCAGCCTGCCTACAACTGCAGGGAACTATTCCCCCTTTGCATTTTCAAAGCTCTTCAAAGTGGTTTTTAAAGTGCCATTAAAGACACTCCAGGAGATGAAAACAGCTCCTTTTCCATGAGGAGGGCTAACATTCCCTCTCCTTTCCATGAGCAGTTTTCCATCACCTCTCAGCAGCCTCATCACGGCAGCAGACCACCAGCTTTGGACTGAGAGCTGAGGTAGCCTATGGAGCAGGAGCAGCCAAAGACCAAAAATTGGGATTTTGGGAGCATCAGCAGCAATTTCAACCCATCCAGAGCAAGGCCAGAGCTGTCATGAGCTAAAGAAAAACCACAAGGACTTTGGGGAAGAAAAACGATTTTTTTATTTGTGGTTAAATAAAGGAACTAGCTGGTAATAAAATGAAAGCAGAAATCTTTTAGGAGCCCGTGCTACTGCAGCCCTGCTGCTGCCAGCACTAAGAACAGACACATTATCACCATTATTGATTTTTGATTTGGGGAAGCTGATTGATTAAACAATTACCCAGCAGACCTTACCCTGTGTTGAGCATTTGTCACCTCCCTTAACTGGGTGATGCTCTGTGAGGCTGAAAAGTGCCTTGAAGGCAGCAAATCCATCTGATCCCACAAATCCCCTGCAAAGGGAATCTCCAGAAAGCCTCGACAAGCATGAGAGCCAAAAACAAGAGCAGGAACAACTGCTTGCTCCCTGCTCTTGCAAACGCCTGCTGTGATGTGAAATAATCATGACTTTACAATTCTGTGAGGAACATGCAACAGAAGAATCCTCAAAATATTGGTGGCAGAAAGGAAAATCCTTTAAAAACACGTAAATCACAAATCCTGGTAGTTTTTATTATTTCTGGAGTGTCAAGTTATTTCAAAGAGGGACTTTGGAGTAGTTTGTGGGAGGGAAAAAAGCAAAATAAGGCAAAACCCCAAGCTCCCCCCAAAGCATGGACACTCAGGATGTGGCTGATTTCCACACCCCACTTTGGACAGGACAAATCCACTCCCTGGAACTGATTTCCAGTCAGATGTTGTTTGTTCCCACTCATTTATTTTAATACAATGGCAAACTCGTTTCATATTTAATGATTGTTTCATGAAAAAAACCCTGTTTGGTATTTCAAAGAGAACCATTTTTATCAGCAGTGCATTAACTGGGTTTATTACCCCGATGCAGCAACGTGTTCCCTAGAGCCAGACCCCTTGAAATCCTCCTGGATTTGTGTTTTACTGATCCATTCAGGAAGGGTGGAATCCAAATGCCTGAGCCAGCAGCTTTCCTGCCCTGAAACCTCCTTCTGCATACCCACATCAAACATTTTACTGCTTCTTAATAACTCATTTATTAGCAAGTGACTGCTACATGTTATTAATCAATTTTAAAATGCCTCACATAAAACATCAACCAGCTTACATGGTATTTTTATTCATCATTAAGATTTTTCAGGGTCCCAATCTTCTCTATGAATTCCATATATGGAATTAGATGTGGTTTTAGCTATGTTTTCTCCATAAAATTTCAGTTGTTTTATATTTCACTGCAAATTTTCAGCCTGGGATAGTGGAAGTGTCCCTGTCCCTGGCAGGGGGTGGGATGGGATGAGCTTTAAGGTCCCTCCCAACCCAAACCATTCCAGGATTCTGTGATCATTAATTGTGATGGGCTGATGCAACATGCCAGTTTAGGGAAGCAAACTGAGGTTTTCAGAAGATCCAAGAAGCCATGCAGACCCCTCAAAGATACAGAACACACTGAACAACATTTAAAAACATAATACAATAGAGACTGTGAAAAGCTCTCTTTTAAGGTAAGAACAAGGCAGTTCTGCATGGAGTTAAAGGGGGCAAAGCTGAACTGGAAGTGTTTGTTTGCCATGCTCATGAACAAACCCTGAACTCACTGTTTGCAGCAACCTCTGGAGTAAGCAGAGGGGAAAGGGACTCAGCTAAGGCAGTTTTGCCATCACACAAATACAGCAGTACAGGTGTTTGGTGCCATGATGCTAACCCATGTATTTCAGAGTGTGAGAGATCTCCTGAGGAGATTTTATGTCCACTGCTCCTTATAATATCTACAAAGACAGAAGGTGTCTTTGCTGGAGCTTTTCAGCAGTATTGCTATAAGAACAAACCCATTAAATATTAATGTATAAGATATTTTCCTGTTATTACAATCTGAGTGCCGTGCCCGTGCTCAGCACCAGGGTTGGTGACTCAGGGCTGGGATCTCAGCCCTGCTGTTTCCACAGGTGCTGAAGGAGCACTGAAGTGGCCATCACTGTGACCTCCTGCTGTCAGTGTGTCCCCACCTGAGCACAGGGCAGCTGGGGGCTGCTGTGCCAGCCTGGGGACTCCAAACCCTGCCTGGAACAGCACAACCTCACATGTGTTCCCAAGGCCCTAAAATACCTCTGAGCCAGAGCTGTGAACGCAAGAGAAAAGAGATCCAAGAGATACCCACATAAATAATCCTTTTGCAGTGAGTTTTTGTCTGCACACAACTCCCAGGGTGTCATTTCAAGTGCTGTCACTGCTCTCACCCTTTTCAAGAGCTTTCTCTGCTTCCTGAGACACAATCAAGGGCAGATCATTAGAGTCTGCTCTTTAATGGCTCAGAGAAAAGGCTTGGTCTGTTCTGCTTTTCAGTCCTGCTCTGAGAGCCAGAAGTCCTTCCCGGTCCTGCACTCAAAATGAGACCAATTCTTTGAATCTTACCCTCAGAGCCTGATGTTCTACTTAAGCTGGACAATTGACAACAGGATTGTATTCCACCACCTTCATGGTTTCCCTCTTTTCTTCACTTGCCCTCCCAGCCAGCAGGGCTCCAGACTCCTTGGAATGACATTCCCTCCTTCTGACTGCAGGCACCCACCTTTTACTCAGGCCTGTGGAGTCTTTTCACAGTAACAACCACAACTCTTGTGCTTTTAAAAGCATTTCTTTTTCCCCTGGGATTTTTGCTGGAAAGGATAAAAAACTTCTCTTACCCAGAGTTTCCTTCTGCAGCTCACGGCACCGACTCTGGAGCTCGTTCCCCTGCTGAAGGGAAGTTTGGAGCTGCTGAGTTTTCAGCTCAACTGTGTCAGCCACCTCAGAGAGGTGTTTGACCTTCTCCTGCAGACACTCGTTCTCCCGCTGGGATTTTGCCAATCTTTGGTTCAGTTTGGGTATTTCTGAGGAGGCAAAACAAATCCATGTAGACTGTGGCTATTTTATGTTAATTATGAACAAGAACATCAAAGTTTTTAAATGGCATTCACAGGCCAACAAAAGTAAGTGGGGCTAAATTGTTTTGATGTGGAAAGCTGGATTTGAGGATGGGTGTGATATTCCTGGTGTGGCATTAGTCTGAAGTGGGAAATGCTGAGGGATACAGAACCTTGTAAGAAAGGCTCCACTCCTGCTTCCACACAGATCCTCTGCATATTGGGAGTACTACAACAAACACAACAAGGAATACTCCACAAAAGAAGCCTTGAAATGTATGTGAGGCTGAAGAAGTCTGCAGGGACACGTGCTGCCATTGCCCCCAGGCAGGGAATTCCCTGCAGCAGGCAGGGAACGAGCCCAGGGAGAGGGGAATCCTCAGGAGACAGGAACCTTCCTGTGTCACAGGGACACTGCAGATCACTGTCCTTACAGGAGTGAAGATTGGGGAGGATGCTCTGGGCTCACACCTGCAGCAGGCAGGAGCCCTTGGTGGCCCAGGGCCCCAGCTCCTGCTGGTGCTGGCTCAGTGTCTCAGTGGGCTCATCCTCTCCAGGCACAGAGCCCTTCCCAGTGGGAACAAAGCAACCCTTGAGGGAGGAATTCACTGCTCATGGCCCAGGAAGCACAGCTCACTGGGCAGCTGCTGTGCCAAACAGCTCCAGGGCTCCTGGGCTGCTCCAGGCATGCAGGGTTTCCCTGTGGATCTGCTCTGGAGCTCACAGGGACAGGGGCAGGTGGAGATGCACATCCCCAGCCTGCCCTCAAAGACCTGACCAAACTGACCCCCGAGGTTAATCTGGGCAACAGGGGGATCTTTGGGTTGTCCTGTGCATGGCCAGGAGCTGGACTGGATCCTTGTGGATCCTCCCCATCTCAGGAGATTCTGTGATTTTGTGACTCAGCCAAACAGCAGCTCATCCACTCATCCACACTGACAAACTGCTAGGACAGGAATATGTCAGAGTATTATTTCTGAAGGCCTTTAGAGCTGTAAATTGGGCACAGGGCCAGCAGGGCAGCTCTGGCTGTTGCAGTCTGTAACTGCACCACTGCACACTGTTCTCAGTGACACCAGTCTCAGCACAAATGGCACCCAAGGCTCAGCCTGGGCACGGCCCCTCCTGAACAAGCCCTCGGCTGTCCTTGCTCCCAGCTCCCCTGGCCCTGGTGGGAGCAGGAAGCAGCCTGGGGGCCAAGGGAATTCTGGCCAGCCCAGGGGCTGCTCTGTGCCCCTTGCAGACCCCTCAGATAAGGAGGGCTGCACCTGGCAGGGCTTGTTCTCACCCAGGAATGGGAGCAGGGAGAGCTGCTGCTGTTGGGTGTGGGTTTGCTCCACAAGTCCTTGCTGGTCCTGCACTCAAAATGAGGCTAATTCTTTGATTTTTACCCTCAGAGCCCGATACTCTACCTAAGATGGACAGTTAACAGCAGGATTGTATCCACTGCCTTCATCATTTTCCTCTTTTACTTCTCTTGCCCTGTCCAGTTTGGGGGCAGCACTGCAGGACACTCCAGCAGCTCCCACAAGGATGCTGGACCAGCACCCTGCAGGATCCTTTCTTCTCTTGCCCAAAATGATTGCAGGGTGCTTTACCTGTCAGAGCTTCTTTGCTCATGGCTTTTATTTGCCGAAAAATTTCTTCCTTCATGGCTGCAAAGCTCTCCATGTTGGTGGAGATGACCTCTTTAATACTGTCTAATTCACTCCTAATGAAAGGGAACAGTGAGACAGCCTTGTTCAGGGTGGAGCAATGGTGTTCCAAGGTAGTTCTGCAAGAAAGAAAACGTACCAGATGTATATTTATAAATTATTCTATCAATAAAACTTGGGAATTAGACTAAGCTTGACAACTATGTTCCCAATATCTGGTAATTTATACTGCATTGGGTTACAATAATTCAGTGTATGACATGTGCTGTGTGTTGAATATATGTATAATAAGTTTCCCCATCTAAATGTTTAGAGCTTTTATACATAAATGAAGAAAACTGGGTTTGTTTCATCATTTCAAAATCCAGTACAGGAAATTGTCCAATCATTTTTAATTGAGAAATCAGAGTAATCATGTTTAAATGACTGTATGCCCAGGTTTATGGTGAACCTCTATAAACAATATATATGTAGGAAATACAGCATTTCCAACATCAGCACTTCTTTTTGGGTTCTCACCTGAGCACCTGTGACTGCTTGTAGGCAGCTTCCTTCTCCTCCTGGAAATACTGCAAATCAGCTTTCACAGTTTTCATCTCCTCCTGCTTGGTTTTAAGTTCCACTGTCAGGGTTTTTATCCTACAGACGTAAATAAAATAATCAGAATTGTTTGCACCAATAATCAACCTCCAGCTTTGGTTCCAGCTTTCTCAGGGCAGGAGCCAGCTCTGTGCTGGCCTCAGGCACAGCAAACACCTCCAGAACCGTCCCCCCAAGGTGTTCTTTCTCCTCTAACATTTACCTTGGGAACTTTTCTTTACAGCACCAGTTTGTTTTTCAGGCACAGCTACCCCAGTGTAAATAAACACAGTTTAAACATTGCTCTTTCAACAGTTCAGCACTTGCTCCCATAATTGTCAGGAAATGAATGGAACTGCACAGGAATAAAAGAGCTGAATCCAGTTCCCTTCCTGTGCTACATGTGAGGAACAATCCCACAGAGCACATCAGCCCCAGCTGTTTTCTGGAGATAACCATCCTAAAGCAGCCTCCCAGCCCCAAAAATACCACTCCAGTGACAAGCAACTGTTAAAAACCAGCCCCTGTTTAAGCTTTCAACACCTACTGCTCACACAGAGAAAATGATCTATTTGTCTCCTGGTGACTCATTGCCACAAGTAAATAAGTAATGTTTGAATGGACAAGAATTTTACAAAACCAAAGGCTGGCAGAAGCACTACATCAGCCTTGGCTTCAGTTTTAAACAGCAGAAGAGAATGAGAATGATTTATGCTGAAAATATATAAAAATTAAGCCAAGCTATGACAGTGCATTAGTTACTGTTATCACACAGATCAGCACCAAAATGCACATTAAAAAAATATACTAGTCCTGGTTAAGAAACATGGATCTGCAGAGCTCTGAGAAAATCTGAACTGAACATCTGGGGGTTAAAAAGCAAGTCTTTGGGGCTCAATTGTGAACCCTGGAACAAAAAAAAAAACCAAAAACAAAAACAAAACAAAACAAAAAATTGAAGATATTCCTGGCATTACCTTTGTAGGAAATTTTACCCATTGCTACCTGCAAATTTCCAGGAGGTGGAGAGCAGGAGGAGAGAGATAAAATCTGTTGGATTGTGGTTGGGAGCAGAACTGTTGTCACACACAAGAAAAAAAAAAAAAAGTCCATCCCCTAAACAGCTCCAGGAATTCAAATCTACGTTTGCAGCTGAGGAAAAAATCAGTGATTTATCACTGCCCAATAACAAATCCAAACTCTGGGAGCCAGGGAGAGCCGGATGCTCATTTTCCATTCTTGTTCTAGAATGGGGAGTATTTGAAGATCTTTTGGATTAAAAAGAAACTGGTAAATAAGGAGAGACACATTTTCTTCCTCTTTCCATTCCAGAGCTGACATTAAAGGGATGTTTCCATGTCCTGCTCAGTCACACACTAAAGAATCTGTGGAAAAGGCAGGACAGTTGCACTCGGCTGTTACCAACAGAAGGAAGCAAAATAAACACGTTATTCTGGGGGTTTTTAACACCAAGGGAGAGTCCAGTGGATGTTAAAAGCTGGCATTTGGAGAAGGAACAGGCTGATCTCAGCCCGTCCCACAGAGCATTCCCTGCCCAGGCTGGCATCCATCCCCTCGAGCTCCTGGGGAGCACAGGAGGAGCCCTGGCAGAGGCAGGGGGTCAGGACATGCTCACCCCGAGAACAGCAGGAGAAAACCCAGCAGGAGAAAAGCCAGCAGGAGCTGCAAACACCCTCAGTGTCCCACAGCACGAGGAGCAGCTCCCGTGCTCCAGGGGATCTACAGGAATCATCCCTGAGCTGCACTGCATGGCACGGGGGTCCCCCGGGATGGAGCAGCACTGGCACTGCCAGGAGGACAGGAGGCAGCAGGAGCCTGGGACATCTGTCCAAAAAACACCTCCACCCCGGCGTTTTCACTGCCATGGAAACTTTGGGAGCTGCCCAGAGCCAGGAGTTGCTCACTTTCATTTCACAGCCAGGAGCTGCTCATTTTCAGTTCAGAAAGTGGTGAAGTCACCAGCCCTGGAAGCGTTCAAGACACGTGAGGATGCAGCACTTGAGGACATCTTCAGCATCTACATCTATTTTACATTTCCTACACTGGATGTGGATTCATTTTGCTAACTAAATTAACAATAATTCAATTAATTATCAAGACTGAAGTGATTTTAACGCAGAATAAGGTTGAAGCTGAGTGGGATCAGTGCAGTTTGTTCCCCTTCTCCTGCCAGGATCCCAAAGGAAAGGTAACCAAGGACAGGCAAACTCCCAGGTGGCTTTCAAGGTTAGCCACAGGTACCAACAGGAATACCTGAACCCAGAGGGAACAGAAACCTGAAACAGTCTGCAAGTGATAAGAGATTCAATCCCTTGGTCTAGCAGAGATAAAAGTAAGAAAGAGGCATGTTTGGCTTCTGGGAGCAGTGATTTGCCAGCCTGGCCAGAGCCAGGATGTTGAATAGTTTATACCAGAGCACAAGGCAGGCAGAGAGGCCCAGGACAGCCAGGACAAGATAAGGAACATTCAGCCAAGTTTCTTAACGAGGCACAATGCTTGATTTATGGCTGGAATGGAAACCTACTGCGAGTATCCCACTTGATTTCAGCAGCTTTTAAATCAAGTGGAGCCTTAGGGGGGAAAAGTGCAGAGATAAAAATTTTATTAACTGTTCCAGCTTTACTACAAAAAGTCAGCTCGATGAAAATTTAAAGTTTGGCTCTGGCAAATGATCCTCAACAAGAAGAATGTGCTGTCAGTGCATTTGCTCACAGACTGCCACCAGGGCTGTTAGAGACAAGGAGCAAACAAGCTTTAAAAATAGATATTAAACCACAGAAAATATTAAATATCTGTAAGGAGGGGTAAAAGATGTTAAATTTAAATTAAAAAGATATTGCAAGAAACATTATGAGTAACTTACAAGATAAATGCATTTTGTTCACTTTTGTGGGAAGTTGTGCTCTAAAATGAATCTTTTATCAGTAATATTAGCAAGCAAAAGCCTAATTAAATCCATTAATTAAGTTAATTTTTAACAGTATTTGAGTGATTCTCCCAAAAAAGTAGGTTTCCAAAGCATTTCAGTCCAATCTCAAAAGCACCTTCAGCTCTACAACCCTTGGTGTGAGTCAGTCACACAAGGAACACCTCTCCTGGGGATTCCAAAAATCAAACTGAGCTGATAATTAAAATTAGAACCTCATCCTTACAAAAAAACTTCTGCCCATTTGAGTCAGATGAGCCAAAAATTACCCAGGAGTTTCTGGTAGCCTCAATCCATCAGTAGCAAACTCAAGCAAACTGCATTTTTATAAAGTATCTTTTATTAATTGACTATAAACATCAATTATTTATAATCCTACTGTAATCAATTAATGGAATATAACAATAGATTCCAAAATATGTGCATAACAAAGGATACAGACTCTGTAAGTATGAGCTAAAGAATACATTTGAAGGTCTTAATTGTGCTCTGAAAATCCAAATGTGGCTCTGAGATCTATCATTAATTACTGGAGTTTTATGGTACAAAACTCCCCCTTTAAGTGGGGCCTTCCCATATCTGTAAGGATTTGAAACCTCCTGTTTGTCAAGCAAAATGCCCCTGGCAGTTCCCAAACTGCTCCTCCCTGCTTTAGGATCCTGTACCAGCCCTGCAGAGATTCAGAATCCTGAGACTGCCAGGGAAGGACACAGGGAATTCTTTACTGGGAGACTGTGGCACTCCCAGTCCTGTGGAGTTTCATTTGGAATATTAGAGATTAATTACAAGATGATAAGATGAGATATAAGAGGGGAAATCCCTCTGAGTGCCTTCTGCCTCTCCTTCCCTTCCACACACTGACTGCTCCTAAACTGCTCAGGAACCCTGAACCTGCTTCCACAGGACACCATGAAGGATGATTTAAATCAACTCCTACAGCATATATGGGCCATGTGAGCAAAGAAAGACAAATGTTATTTGTATTTTAAGCTGCTTTGGGCCGAAATTCCCTGCCACACACAGGAGAGGGTCTCCAGAGGAGATGATGTGCTCTGACCTTTCCGTTTTGGATTCGCTCTCCGCCCGGCAGCGCTCGAGGTCGTGGTGCAGAGCCTGCAATTCTGCCTGAAGCCTCTGCTCCCGTTCTAGGCTTCCCTTATAAACTTTAATCTCCTTCTCCATTGCTTTGACTTTGTCTTCCATCACCTTGAACTCGTGGAGTGTCAGGTAGCTGACTCCGCAGTATTTGCACACTGTCTGGTCCCGGGGCATCTACAAAGAGAGAAAATGCTTCAGAGTGCCTCAGAGAAGCAGGTTCAACTAAAAAAACCCTCAGTCACACTAAGAAATAATAATAAACCCAAACAATTTAAACCATTTGCTGCTCTGGAACATTTAAGATCAGATGATGTTATCGCTTTAACAAATAAAGACAAAAATCTTCATTAGCAAAATGAACCCCAGCTAGAGCAGCACTTTCCCTTCCTGGCAGCTTCCCAAGATACATCCATTTGATACGTGGGAACTCCCACTGAAATGCTAAAGTACTTCTGAGTTAGGCTGGAGGTATTAATGGAAAATGAAATGCTGTGTTTTACAAAGCTATCTCATTAATGAATCTGGGATTACCAGATAAATGTTATTCTCTGGCTTTCCGACATCTCAGATCCAAGTGAAGGAGGCAAGATGAGGGAAGTGAGGTAATCCACAATCTTCACAAAAATAATTCATGAGTGATGCTGAGGTGTCCCTGGCACTGGGGTGCTGTGGAATCTGTAACCCCTTTGCCAGGAATGAAGGACTCAGGACTGATTACAAAACATGTAACACCCATCCAACGGAAAGGCCATTTATTAAATTGGAAAACAGACTTTTCCAACTGATCTGGTTATTAACCTTGAAGCAGGGAACATGCAAGCACCTGTTCAAATAGTTTAAGTCAAATTAAGATTTTTTTTTTTTTTTACAGAAGAAAAAAATGATGTTTTGAGACATTGGGATAAACAAAAAGAAACCCCACCGAGAGGAAAGAAAAGAGCTTTCAAAAATTATAAATTAAAGACTCATACAATAACCTTTAGGAGTTTAAATACAGCTTGATATGAACAGTGTTTCAGGGTGCCCTGGACAAGCTTTATTTCCCCATTTCTTAACATTGCTCCAGTTTAAACCCCCCTGGTTACAGCTGCTCTGGAGGAGCCGAAAATGCAAGTTTATTTTTCCTGGCAGCTGCAGTCTGTGCTTGGAAACCTGAAACTGTTCTTCAGGATAAGTACCCCGAAGTTCCAAAGCACTGGAATGAGTGCACTGGAGGAGGACACAACGAGCTGTGCAGGGTTTATCACAGGGAGGACACGGTGCTCTGTGCAGCACAGCCACTGCTGCTGCTCACACAAACAGCTGAGAACTCTCACTGCTTCTCCCACCAAAAACAAGATAGAATCAGCAGGGCTCTGAACTGAAAAGGGTTTGTGCAAGTACCAAAACTTCTTAGTTTTCAAAGTCAGTTTTGTTACTGGATGTCAAAATAAATGAAGTCATAGAACAACAAATACTCCCTGTCTGGGCTCAGCTGGAAGTGCTCTCCTTCCCATCCACTCCTCAGGTGAAATGAAAATCTGGGAGGATTCCTGATCAGGCTGGATTTTTACAGTATTTGCTACAGAGTCAAAAAATCACAGAATAGGAAAGGCTGTGTAAATCAGCACATTAATAATTAATTGCTCTGCACATTAATAATTACCCTGCAAGCACTGCAATAAGTGTACAGATTGAACAGCTTCCAAATATCCACCTTAATACATGGAACAGTTCCCTGACACCAGGAGCTGAGTGATGCCAGCCACAGTTAGTTTAAACCCAGCACATCTGTCCAGGGTCCCTGGAAAATTAACAGCACCCAGATAAAAGTGAATAGAGCAAGGAAGGCACTGACCTCATTTCCCATCCTAAATCCAAGGTTCCTCTCTCATGGAATCACAGAAGGCTTTGGGTTAAGAGAGACCCTAAAGCCCATTCAGTGTCACCCCTGCCATGGCAGGGACACCTCCCAGTGTCCCAGGCTGCTCCAATTCCCAATGTCCAACCTGGCCTTGGGCACTGCCAGGGATCCAGGGGCAGCCACAGCTGCTCTGGGCACCTGTGCCAGGGCCTGCCCACCCTCACAGGGAACAATTCCTGCCCAAATCCCATCTGACCCAGGAATCCCAATATCCCATCTATCCCTGCCCCCTGGCAGCCTTACAAATAAATGGTCTTTTTCCAGGAGAAAAGCTCCACTAGACCTTGTCTCTTAGACACCAAAGTTGATCAACCATTAAACAAAATCTGTAGGAAACAAACTGTCATCAGTTCTTATGCTTACAAATTACCTTTTCTGGAACAGTGAGATTGCTGAGTAACCACTAAGGATGTGTACTAAATACAAGTTCATGGTTTCAGATTCCATATTTCACTGTTTCCATTTGATAAAAACACTGTTGTCATCTCAGCTTCAAAGCAGGAAAAAATCAGGGGAAAAACAGTTTGGAAGGAATAGAAAAGGAAACTACCAGAGCTGAGTAGAAAGGGGACTTGTGTGTCCTGAGTAAGCACTGAGGACAAGCAGGGAACAGAAAAAATCAATTAGGAATTAAAAAAACAGTTTTGCTGAGGACAAAGTGCTTGATCTCAGAAGATCTTTATCCATAAGACTTTGAGCTACAGTTGTGATGCACAGATGCTGTAAAGCATCTGGGGGAAGAGTTTCCACTCTGCACTTGGTTTTGGAAGGAAATATTATCTATCCCCTGGTTACAAAGATTTCTTTAGCTACCAAGGCAAGGGGAGGACTAAGCCAAGAGGGATAATCACTCAAATTACATCTGTCTGACTCAGTTTCATCTGTAGAGCATAAGCTGTAAGGAAAAAAAAGAAAATAAACTGGTGGTCTGGACCATTTTTAGCCTTTTGAACGATGAGACAGGAATTTGTACCACTTGAACTTGACCAAATAACTCCAGGGTGTGTCAGCTCGTGCATCACCACCCCTCTCCTCTGGAATTTCACATTCCACCCACAAACACCCCACGATGGAGAGCTGCATTCCTGTTCAGAAGAGCGAGCTCCTCTCTCATTTGGCCAGGCTTTGATATTACAGCAGCCAGCACAGGGATCACTCATCACAGAACCCTAAAACTGCTCAGCTTGGAAAAGCCCTCCAAGAGCATGGAGTGCCACCAGCCCACAGCATCCACAGCCCCAGGTGCCACATGCACAGGGCTGACAAACCCCTGCAGGGATGGGGACCCCACCACTGCCCTGGGCAGCTGGGCCAGGCTGGACAGCCCTTTCCATGGAGAAATTCCTCACAACACCCTCTGCTCCTTGGTCCACAGCTCTTGCTCTCTTGGTGGATCTGTCAGGACTCAGATTGCTTCAGCAAGGACTGGTCAAAACAAAAAAACTCTGTCGAAATTAAACTTGTAGCTGAAAACATTAAAGTCGAGAAAAAATAAATAATCCTTATGCTGCAGCTGGGTGGTCTTAAATTATTTCTGTATGTTGATTTATTCTGCCTTATTACCCAATTTTACTTTCTTTTTTGTTTCACTCCTCTCCCACATTATTTTCATGTCTCTCATCCTGTCTGTCCCTCTTCTGACACACCAGTCAATCCCTATTGCACAAAAAGAAATGATGACTCAAACTACACCGTTGATTTTTGAGGAAGAAAGGGAAGTCTTTTGATGCATATGCAAAATGAGGAGGTACAAGATTGAAATTTATATTTGCCTTAGTCAAAGAAAGATTTTTAAAAGGTCCCCGTAGAAACTTCACTTCTTTTAAAACAAACAAAGTGTATTGTGAGCCAAGTTTTCAATCAGCATCTACCCCAAAGCAATCCAGATGGTACTGCTGAGCCACAGTGCTCACATCATTATTTGCTCCCTGCCCATAAAATCACAGTTGCAAAATAAAAATCCCTGTGCTTGCTTTGAACACACGAACAGTGGAGAAACAGGCTGGGATAAAACCAGAAAGTTGCTTCATTCCAGACATGCCCTGGGAAAATCCCTGTGTCACGACAGGAAATAGCAGCAGGAGCTCAGGTAGCCGAAGCCATTGCAGCCCAGAGGAAAGCAGAATAATGAATCCCAGTGCATGTCACACTCCCAGAGCTGCAAACCCCAGCACAGGGCCAGCAGCCCTTCCTGAGCTCCCCACCTTCCTTGGGATGCGTCAAGGCGTGTTCCAGCTGAGAACTCAACCCCAGGACTGCCACGAAGCATCTGATGACAAAACACAGCAGACAAAGGATGATTTAGCCCATTGTTAACAGTAACCTCTGCATCCCTAGGTGCGATTGTCAGGGAGCCTCTCCTGGCTGAAACCCCCCAGAGTGGGAGGTGAGGAATTCCAGTCCCTCCAGTTCCAGCAGCACGCTTGGACACTGGTTGCAGAAAGGGTGGAAAACCTTGGCTGTAGTGAACACAGCACTGGTTTTGTGAGAAAACCTTGGATATGGAGAATACAGCCCTGGTGTGATGAGAAAAGCTTGGCTATACTGCCTGGAGGGGGTGTGGAGTGTCCCTTAGTGGAGAGACTGAACCATCTGGGTACAACCCCTGGCAGTAGCTCCGGGGGCTTGGAGCCACCTGGGACACTGGAAGGTGTCCCTGCCCATGGCACTTGAAGGTCCCTTCCAACACAAACCATTGCAGGATTCTCTCCCATTTCCAGAGCACTCCCCAGCACTCAGAGCACTCCCACAGCAGGAGCCTGGCACCCCAACACCACAAAACATTACAAATTCCACAGCTGAGTGCTGAGAACCTCAGCGGGCACTGGGGGACATCACCTCCAGGAGAATTCAGAATGTGGGGGCCAGCAGGATGCTGAGAAGGGCTCTGCCATTCCAGCACGCTTATCTGGAGGGCACAAACTGGAAATTTATCTGCTTTTACATCCCTGCTGGCACCCCCGCAGCACGTCCCAAGCACGGAGCCGTGCTGTCCTGGTGGACGGACAGGCCGTGGGCTCCCAACCACAGCTGGAACTCTGTGTTCCAGAAGCTTTCACGAGAAAACCCCAACGCTGGGTTCACAGAGGGCAGGAGAAGGGAAAGCTGCCGCCATGTGCTCGCACAGAGCCCATGCTGTGCCCAATGTATAGCACACGTTTGCTGCTTGTGGTGTACCCGATGCTCTGGGGACACCACAGGACATTCTGTCCCCAAGGGAACAGCCTCGGACTTCCTGCCTGAGCTCCTCGGCTCCTGGGATGACACAACTCTCAGTCTCTAAGGGTATCTTGGCCCTGTTCATTTCATGATTTATGGTAACAAAGGTTTTATATTTTTTCCAAATGAAATATGAAATTAAATAGAAATGTGTTTGCTGCTTTGAGGACTTGGGTCATTCTGTTTCCTGTTTCAGGGAGATCCTCAGTGCAAAGCTGCATTTTCCCTTCTTATTTCCCTCCACTCCCACAGAACTTTAACTAAAGTCCAAAGGCACAAAAAATGATTCATCTACCACTGGCAACAAACAACTACCAAGGTGAAATATAAAAGCCTTGAGGAAAAATTAAACCAAAACAAAACATTAACCAAGCAACAAAACCAGAAGTCCCCAAAAATACACATCCATGACACTGGAGTCAAGGAAACACTAACTCCCTTCTGCACCCTGCCAGGCTCTGTGACACCTCTCAGGCTGAGTTTGCTTGCAGGAACTCTATGTAAATACATTAAAAGTAGGCATTAAAAACCACTGATTTCCATCTTTACTAACAATTAGTTCCCAAGAAGTATGCAACTATAAATACAAAAGAATACTATAAACTTTAAGAATGGATATGTAAATGCTTTATTCACCTGTTGATTTTGGTTCTTTTCATTTAGCACCCACCTTGTAATGAATGTGAAATGTAATGTTGTGAAAGGGGTGTGAAAACAGAAGAAGAAATGAGACAGAGAAGAAGGCAGGGACCTGTAAAAGTTTTTACACAGGCAAAATAGAGGCAAAATAGATCAGAACATGAAGAACCAAGGTCCCTTCACATCTATCATTCCTTTGACAAAATGCTGAGAAATCTCCTTCCCTCTAGACTAAGACTTCCTCTAAAATAAAACCTTGATAAGCAGCTTGTGCAGCTCCAAGGAGAGGAAAACGAGAGCTCTCACTGCAGCCTGCCCTGCGAGGCAGCTCCTGGATCCCATGTGAGTGCCACAAGCCAACCTCCAGCATCCATCCATCCATCCAGCCATCCATCATCCATCCATCCATCCATCCATCCATCCATCCATCATCCATCCATCATCCATCCATCCATCCATCATCCATCCATCCATCATCCATCCATCCTCCATCCATCCATCCATCCATCCATCCATCATCCATCCATCCATCATCCATCCATCCATCCATCCATCCATCATCCATCCATCCATCCATCTATCCATCCATCCATCATCCATCCATCCATCCATCCATCCATCCATCCCAAGCCAGCACCTGGCCAGGAACATCCCTCACTCTGGGCAGCACTCAGTGCCTGGCAGGCTCCCTGCAGCCACACGTGCTGCCCTGCACACCCATCCTGGGAGCACGTGCTCCGTCTGGCACAGCACAGCTGGCACACGTCCGCCTGACAGGGAGATTCCAGAGGAGAGGCTATGAAATCTGGGCAGCAGAGGACGGGAAGGGAGTGAGGACATGTGTGCAGAAAGGATGGGGGATGCAAGGGCAGGAAATGGAGAGAGTGACTTGTAGTGCCTTGTAAGGATGCTGCAGCTACAACACGAGCCAGCTGAGGAGGAGATGAGCAACAGCACAGGATGTGTAAAACCCCAGCACTTTCTCATCCCAAATCCCGGGCTGTCGCTGCCTTGGAGCTCACACGTGGCACGAGGAGGATGGGACAGGAGCAGAAGTCTGTCCATGTCTGGAAATCCTGCATCCTCTGCACCAGATTTTTTGTTAAATGTGTACCCAGCACTGGTGGCATCTCCAGAGATTGCCTGCCCCATCCTCTACTTCGAGGGACAAGTTGAAGGGACAATCCCACTGGGAGAATTCCACAACAGCCTGGGAGAGCTGCTCCAGAGCAGTCAAGCAAAGCACATTGAGAAATGTGAGGAAAAGACTCATTTGCACCTGGAAATGAACCACCACCTCCTGTGAGCAGTTACTGTGCCCTCAGGTATTTTCCAGAATGAACAAATCCAGCTCTATTATCCTTAGAAGATTTTTAAGCTCTTTACTATTTTTGCTCTTTTCTAAATTCCCATCAGTCACATCACTATTTTTACAGACACTATTTTTCAGAACTGAAACTTCACCAGCCCTGGACAGAGGGACAACAAAGACCCAAGTTTCACATGCAATTCCTATTACAATTATTGCGACATTCAAACTATCAATACATTAACAGATTCTTTCTGTGTAACATCCCTTTGTTCATATTATTCTGCTTGTGACCCGATTACAGCCCTCAGACTGTTAAGTCTGACAAGGAGGTTATTATGGATTTTGTATTGATGCATCGGATTAATTTTAAATGCCTTATTTTTCCTAAGAATATGGAGTTTAATGCTGTTCCCAGAGTGCTCACACCCCTTCCCGACTGGCACCAGCGTATTCCTTATTGTAATCCAAGATGCTGGCTCAATAGTAACCAGCAGCCACTGACACTGCTGCTGACAGAACTCATGTCACTGCGTTCCTGTGCCTGCCCTGGCTCCCTCCCTGTGCCAGCATATGCCTAGCACATGGAGCAGGAACTGGCTCAGGAACTGATCCCAACACAAAACAGGCTCAAGTGCCACCAAACTGCAGCTTTAAGTCATTAAAGGAAATATTAAGCAGTAACCAGCTCCAGGAGGGTTCCCTCATTCAACAGTTTGGTACAACTGTTTCTCTGAGAAGCTTACACTGATTTTTGCTCACCACTGTACCCCGTTGGGGCTAAAAACTTAACTGCTAAATAAACAAACTTAGTGGGATCCTTCCTGCTACCAAAACAGCTGCTCAAGAGTCTGAAGGTGTTCTACAGCTGCTTCCCTTCCTTATTTTTTTAAGGCTAAGTATTCCTTTTCCCTTTCTTTGTCTATCTTGCCCATCCTTGATTTCTCAGAAATTGTTTGAACAGTTTCCTGGACTAAGCCAGGGAGAATTTCTCCAGGCTGAGTACACAAAGCTTTTAAATGATTTGTCAATTATGAGCTGCAGACCGAGGAATGAGGACAGCTGGGTGTTGTACTGCCAGAGTGAAAACCTGATAGAGTTACAAAAAGTGACTCGTGTTCCACTTGAGTGCAGCCTCCTCCTAAACTGAGCCATATAAACAGCAGCGCTGTTACACCGGCAGTCATGTGTCTGGCAAACAAAAGAACACACAAAGACACCAGGGGAGAGGAAGGGGAATGTTCCGTCCCCGTGTGTGTTGATACTGCTCTGGAACATGTCATGCTCTGCAGTCCTCCCAAACTCCCGGCAGCAAAACACGCCAGAAAGGGGAGATCTGAGACTCACCTGCACTGACAGCCCTGGCGCAGGGCGAGATGCTCTCCAAAACTCACCTGCAATGACAGCCCTGGTGCAGACTCAGGTGTTCTCCAGGACTCACCTGCACTGACAGTCCCAGCACAGACTCAGGTGTTCTCCAGGACTCACCTGCACTGACAGTCCTGGTGCAGGGCGAGATGCTCTCCAAAACTCACCTGCACTGACAGTCCTGGTGCAGGGCGAGATGTTTTCCAAAACTCACCTGCACTGACAGTCCCAGCACAGACTCAGGTGTTCTCCAGGACTCACCTGCAGTGACAGCCCCGGCACAGACTCAGGTGTTCTCCAAAACTCACCTGCAGTGATAACCCCGGCACAGGGCGAGGTGTTCTCCAAAGCTCACCTGCAGTGACAACTCTGACACAGGGCAAGGTGATCTCCAAAACTCACCTGCAGTGACAACCCCAGCATAGCGCGAGGTGTTTTCCAAAACTCACCTGCAGTGACAACCCCAGCACAGAGTGAGATGCTCTCCAAAATTCACCTGCAGTGACAGCCCCGGCACAGACCCAGGTGTTCTCCAAAACTCACCTGCAGTGATAACCCCGGCACAGACTCAGGTGTTCTCCAAAACTCACCTGCAGTGACAGCCCCGGCACAGACTCAGGTGTTCTCCAAAACTCACCTGCAGTGACAGCCCCGGCACAGACCCAGGTGTTCCTCTGCAGGGTTCCTATAAAATTATTGTAATTACACCGCACAAAGAGTGAGGAAACCCAACACCCAACCTAACCCAGGGCCAAAATGTACAGATAATGCACCGGTGCTCACAGGCCCGTGCACCATCCCTGAACTGCTGCAGGAGCTCCGAGTGTTGGGGCTTGGCATTTCCACAGCTCGTACCTTGCGGATCTCCTCGGGCAGCGCGTGGACGGGGCCGCGCCGCTCCATGGCCTCCCGCAGGCTCGGCGGCGGGCTCCGGGAGCGGCCGGGGCTCGGGGCTCCGGGAGCGGCGGGGGCTCGGGGGTCAGGGCCCGCCGGGGTCCCGGCAGGGGGGACCCGTGAGGGGCGGG